CAAAAAGAATAAAAAAAATTGTTAATAATAAAAATAGTAAAAATCAAGTAAGTACATCGCAATTGTATCAGTACCTCATAACAGTATTAGAACATAGGCGTGTAATCCACAAAACGAAAAAAAAATTATATTAAGTTTTAATTAGTTGAGTAAAAAAAAAAACATTTTAAACATTATTTGAATTACACATTGTATAATATAACGTTAACATCGAATACAATTCAAGTATTCAATTTAAAAGATAATGTTAAAAAAAAATCAACAGTAGTAAACACATGTATTATTAATTGAGAGTAAAAAGTATTCTTGTACATTTTGAACTACAAACATAATTTTTATTTCATAATTTACTCACATTTATAATTGTTGTAAAACGCAAATATAGATATACAAGTTAATTGATATTATTTAAAGACACACATATATTATATATTAGATACATAATATGTAATAACTATATTATAATTAAATATCGTAATACATCATAACAAACGGGTAATTTACAGCGTTAAACGGCATTATTATTCATACAACAAAAAAAATTCACAAATTTTTGGCTTGTGTTTACAAATTATTGGACCAAACTGATCTGACTAATATGGTCTTAACATAAGTTAGTGTGGTCGAATGTTAAGTATGGTAACAAAATGATCTATCAATGGGTAACCGTCCACTCGTCTCCATTTAGATTATGATTTGTAAAATATAATATATAGAAACAAAAACTATACATGTTTAGAACATTTTTGAATTAAATAAAAACATTACTTTGTGTAAAACAACTTGTAAACAAAAGTAAACTAAATAACATATTAAGTAGGTATTTAAAATGTTGGCAGGAATTTGTGAACGGTTATCATGTGCTGTTTTAAATTGGACTTAAGAGCCCAACGCTTGTGGCATATCGTACATGCGTACTTGGGAATTTGACCGCATTCAAACTTTAAGTGCCGGTTTAAGGAACTTCGGTTCCGATAAAATCGTTGGCAAACCTTTTCATTGGGACACCTGAACACCTCTTTGAACAACTCCGGCGGCAGTCGATGCAAATCTCCGGTAAATCCTAAAACGTTGACATTAAAATACATTTGTATAGACAAAAAGGAGTACAAGTGGTAGAAAATAACATATAGTCGTGTATCGAAGCAAAAAAGTGGCATCATTTCAAGAATCAATCGGTTAAAAAAAAAACACCAAAATCAATTTTTTGTTTTTCCCTTCTACCAGCCAGATGACTATTGGTAGGTACAAAGATAAATAGTCGCAGTAGGTATAAGTATATATGTATATATACTATAAAATACAGCGTGATAATAATTGTTTTGTACATTGTAGGTATATATTATAATCATAGTATTAGTAAAGTTCAATATTGTACAGTGTTATTCAGTAAACAACGGTTGAATCTACAAGGTTAGGAAGTTTCAGGCATTTGATTTTAACAACATTAATTGTATCTCCTGCGACCACGCAACGATGGCAGGGGCGCAATGGGTTCGATGTTGCAGAAAGTCTTGTGCACTTGGACGATGTGCGACTTCATGTTGGACTTCTGGTAGCATTTTTTGTCGCAAAACGGACAGAAGAATTTCGGTTGAGTGCCGCATTCGTTTCTCAGATGACACTGCAACGATATCTTGTTCTTGTAGGTTCGGCCGCACCCGTTGGGACAGCTAATACGCTCGTTGGCGTTGTTTCTCAGGACTAAAAACAAAATATAACAAAACGCAGAGATTAATAAAGTCGACAAACGTGGTTCATCGGGGTCGCATAACCCTTGAAATCGCTACAAAACTTCGACAGCCCATCAACCGGGTCTGTGTACTAAGTCCGATAGGAAAAGAAAAAAAGAAAAACTTGGCAAGCAAAGCATACATTTGATTTATATCATATGTCATCACTATTGGATTTTCCAATGTTTCCAACGAGTCGATCACTTACCGACCACAGCGCTGGTTGTCGCTCCCTCGATCAGTCTTGACGCAACTATATAGAAGAAATACAAAAAAAGTAGTAGGTCGTTTAGCAATTGTTTATATTTCTTTGGTTTTCGTCAATAGCATACAATAGTGTATAATTTTAAAGTCTAATACTATTTACCTTTTCTATTAAACAAGACAAGCATATTTTATGTATTACGCAGGCCTAGACTAAATATACTATAATATGTCTATATGTGCACATAAGCAATGCATATTATGGAACGGCTGGACGCCCTTTTTGTAGTTCATTTTTCTGTCAATAAAACTCAGAATGGATTTAAAACATATGCCTGCTGGTGTATCACAAATGTATTATTCTCTGTCTATAGCCATGTCAGACGTTTCCACCACTTTCTACAATTAAGCGCTCCCAGTTACCCGAATTCACACTAAAATGTGTGTTGTATACGTTGCCAATCATCATAACATGGGCATTGTCTATCTATACTCTATAGTATATTTAATCTAAGATAGAGGTATACACATTATTATTATAGTAATGAGTAATGACCCAACAAATATGGATATTACACACAAAATAACAAATATTTTAACGAAGTCATCAGTTGGATGTAAACTCAAAACAAATACAATAAAACTATTACAAAAATGTACACACCAACAATACATAACATTTTTATTCTTCAAACTTTTGTTATAAACTTTTGAAGGTATTATGACTTTTGAGTTCATATATTCTATACACTTTAGTATTCAAATACATTTAAACATAAATCAAATACTGTAAAAAAAAAAAAAAGATGGTCACAGAGTAAATAGGAAAATTCTAAAAATATGTTATAACTCAACAAGTTTTTTTAACAAAAAACCCATTATACAGATCAAACCACACAATCAAAAACGTTCGAAAAAATACAGAGTAATCAACGGATAATAAACGAACTGTAATTGGTATTAACTAATCTATTATTATTACATTATTATGTAATATTAAAATGAAGATTTAAGCTTTTTCGTAAACCGTAAAAAATAATATGTAATAAAAAAATATGAACTGATTAGTTAATAATAATTATTATTAATCGTAAATAATAGTGATCATTACAACGGCAAAGGGTATGATAATATCACCTAATAATTATAAAACATTACTGTAGGAACATTTATGTAGGTAAAAAATCATTGCAGCCAAATAATCCAATTGTTTAATAATTGGTGGAATCTTGTCTGGTTTTAATGACTTTATGTTTCAACACCAAATGGCTCTCCAATTGGAACTTTCTGGCAAATTTTTTCGGGCACAGCGAACACATAAAACTTGGTTCGACGCCACACTCGAATTTGACATGCGTGTGAACTCCTCTTTTGTATTTATAACTGCGACCGCACATGTTCGGACACGGGTACCGTGGTAACATTAACACATCTGCAACATTCATTAACACCCGTTAAAGATCAGAATACGGTATTGAGACTCCGATAGATAATAATTTGTTTTATTATTCTTAAGGCAGCGAACGATAATTCTCAGTGAAACAAACAAGGCGACTACACGGCGAAACAACAAAAACGCTCAACGCCTATATACTCAGTGCAAACTGCATACCTACGTCGCATCTATTAATAAATGGTCACCATAAAAAAGTATAGGTTTTGTATGGATTGATGCTAAACGCATACACCTACAAGGTAGATTATTTAAAAAAAAAGGAAAAATCAAATGGAGTATTCATTAGCTTTAACAAATCTAAATTAAGCAATCTTCGTACTTCATGATGCAGTGAATACTACAATTTGTATAGAATAGAATCATTCTATCTGTTAGATCCGATACTGCTTATTTTACATACACTCATCTACAAGTAAACAATAAGTTCCATACCTACTGTACAATACGCAAATATTGGAATACTTTTATCGATGGTATGTAGTTAACGTTAATGTTAGGACACTACTAGGCTCTAGCGCTATTGGATTCACTGCGAAACTAACGTTGGTAGCCTCCATCACACACGAGCTATGCTTAAATATTGTTGAGTAAATCACTAGTTTTATGCTTGTATAACGCACGCCAGAGTACTTCACTCACCATTGTTTTTATTTTGTAATAATAAAAACACCTATTCCAGAGTCAACAAAATTGTTAATATTCAAGCAAATAATACTACTATTGTAGTAGTAATGTATACATAGGTAATACATTTGGTATACGACCATTACAGCTAAAAAACATACATTACTATATACGGTAAAAATGTTTGATGAAAAAAACGAATATATATATATATATATATATATATATGGGAATAACGGACGTTAAAAGTAAGAGAGATACCTATACTCGGTGTAGATAAACTAAAATCGTGCTATTATGAAAATTAATTTTTTGATTATAAAAAATACAAAACAAATTTTAGATAACGATCACAAATCTTCGTTGTTTAATATAATGCTGTGGTTACTGGCCATGTGCACCTTGAGCACGTTTCTGTAATAAAACCTCTTGGTGCACAAGGTACAAGTAAACCTAGGCGTCACGCCACATTCGTTTCTCAAGTGTTGTTTGAGTCCACTTTGGCCTTTGTAATGTCTGCCGCATAAATTTGGACAGTGGTATCGTCCGTTTCTCAGGCAATTTGCCAAAGGCACGTTTTGTATGATCCCGTGGCCGCGAAAGTTATTGTCTAAAAAAAATTAAAACAGAATACCAGTTAATTGTACGTTCATCGTAACCAGTTGATTTTAAAACAATTTAAGTTCAATAATGTTACACCGAAGCCGAAAAAATAACAAGATCAAAAATATACAAATTTGTTAACCCATTCGGTCAATTTAATTAAATTAAAAAACAAATAAAAATAACATCCATTAAGTAAAAAACAAAAAAAGTAGACGTCCCCTGTATAGTATATAAAACATGTACCACTAATTTTTAAATTAATTAACCTGTTCAACGTTACCCTACCGACTTTTTAAAATACAGATCTTAACATATTAAACATAATGTGCGTAATATTAAATATCGTTAAAAATAAAATAGTCAAACAAAATAAATAATTAAATATAATTATACTCAGTTTAATAGTAAATAAAACCAAATAATAATATTTACAAAAATTCATATTTTTGTTTATTCTTTTCACATTATTAACATACTAACTGGAACTAAAGACAAAATGATTTACTTTGTGACATGGGTACATAACATAGAATTATAATATAATATATGTAGGATTTGATTTTTAACCTAAATATCTCGTGTAGTCCTAAATGTATTGTAACTTATTGTAATGTCGAGGTTACAATGAACGTTAATACAACGGGTTTTTAATTTGGAATTTTTGTACATCTAGTAATTTAGTAGACATAAAAAAATTATTCCATGAGTACTCCGTGTTTGACAGCTTTGTGGAGCTGAAGTGTAGCTTTACGTGTGAAAACGCCTTGGCAAAGGTCACAACTGAACTGTTGGCCGCAATAGTAGAGTCTGTGCTTTTTCAGACTAAGCATATTCCTGTACTTCCTTCGACATTTATCACAAGTGTATTCTAAAATCAATATACAATTTTTTATTAGTGCGAAATTAGGTACATTAACTCTAATTAAACAAAATGAGATGCATTAATTATACTTAAAAAAAAGACGCTAATTAAACAACTTTCTAAATTATAGCGATATAAATTAAATCTGGCATTTTTCTATGATCAAGAGTATCAAAGGATAGCGTACGTATCTACTTCTAAAGAAATAAAAGACATCCTGTTTTAGATAGAAATGATCTTTGCAAGCTGATGATTCTAAAATGGTTTTGTTGTGTAACACTACAATAATCAAATTAAATTATACTCCGACTATATTTTTAGTCATTGTACAGTAATTCTTGGCAAATCACAGCCTAAGATGAAAATGTTTTTTTAAATCTCAATTATCTGAGCCACTGAAGTAACCTAAACGTTTTAAACAAATATATCTCAAGAACATATACTAAAAAAAAAAATTATACTAATTATTACTATCAGAGCGGATTTGAGGTGTGTTGCTACAGATCCACATCCTTCCTTTTTAGCTTAATTTCTATTTACTTTATTTTACACAAACCAATGGGATGTTGTAAAACATAGAATATGTGTTTAATTTTTCAAAATAAAGACTTTTTATAAACTGTTATTAGTAGATGCTGATAAAAAAAGATCAACTATTAAAAAGAAGAATTAGGAGAGGAGGAGGATATGACCAGCTTTAGTAGCGTTTTCTGTCGCGTATGTTTTTACATGAGAGGATCCATAACAAAAACATAATATATGTTAAAAAAAGATGGCTATATTTAAAATAATCTATTGTTATTATAGCATAGGGTACATAGGAAATACAGAATAGGAATAATAAGTTTTTGATTATAGTAATGAACAATATAGTGTAACAGTTTAACGAACTAACTAGTTTTACATCAACATTTAACGAAAGTTCTGATGAATGTTAATCATGTGAGTTTTGAAAGTTCCAGGCTGTTTAAAATATCGTTGGCATATTTTACACTGGAACTGTGGACTAACTCCGCATTCATACTTAAGATGATTGTGAATCCCAGGTTTGGATTTGTACACACGACCACATAATATGTTCGGACAAATGTATTCACATTCTCCATTTTTTACCCCACATATCAATTTGGCGTATTCTATAGTGAGAAAAAATAATCACATTTACGGTTTACCGAAAAAAAATTCACCCATATATAATTAAACCCAGAAATAAAGCTTTGCATATTATGTTTATACATAGTAACATATACTTAATATGTGTAGTTTCAAGTCTGTATAAATCTACCTAGAACTTACTTGTTTTGTACCTCAACAACGCATATACATTTTAAATATATAATAAAGCAAGCTTGTAATTTAAATATCTCTTTCAAATAAAAAAAGTTTTATAAAAGTAGCAGTGAATCATATAAAGTATACCAATAAAAAACATTTCACAGTTACATTTAGTGAACAATTTGATTGCCAAATGTAACAAATTAATGACAATTACCCGTTAAGATTACTTTATTCTCAGACATCTAGCTTTTAATATCAGTATTATACCTTATTAGTTATTACTGACCCATTAATAAAAAAAATTGATTTTTTTAACCGACACCAAATGAAAACGAATGTTCACAAAAATAATTATGGCATTTTATTGAATGCATTTCATTTTCACGTAACATTAATAATAAAGTGTGTTTTACATATTGTTTTGTATTTCAAAAATATTATATTTAGAAACGTTAGACTATTAATTGAGAATAAAAGATCATACACTCGTCTCGTTAATAACATTTTAACAACACTAAATGTCTAAATTGATTAATTAACACGTATTAGATCAATAGCATCGAATAGGAACAGATATCTATCTATACCCAATGGTAAATGGTGCATTTAAAACATTGTCAAACGTATTCTTTCGGATTAAAGTTAGTCAACATATAACACAATTAATCATTAAACCTATCTTTAAAACAAAACGTAAAAATAAAATACATACAATTCATATAAATAAGTCAAACAATTTTTTTTTATTGTAACTATTAGTAATAACACTTGAATAGATATTATAGCGTTAAATTAACGTTAGTAAATTATTATTAATTGTTTTAATAACAGAGTACCTACAGATATGGTTTAAAAAAAATTGTATATAATTTATAATTAAACACATACATATCTAAATTTAACTATAAGTCATAGAACAATTTTTAAGTGGTGAATTGGCGCTATTATTTATAATTGAAAAGCATATTTCCAAAACTAACTGTCTATACTTTTTGGAAAAATAAGAAAAAATTGTTTAAATATTTTAACAACTTTAGCTATGGCGTGCAATTTTTTAATTGCTCTATATTTAAAGTTATTTTTCTAACTGTGTATTACTTTAAAAACTTTAAACTAAAAGGAAATATTTAAGACAAATTATGTCAGATAATTAATTTTGTAACTCAAAGGTGTAAATTATAAGTTTTGAAATAAGTCGATTATTTCATACAAAAATATTATCAATAACATTTGAACTGGATAAACAATAATCATTTCGTATTTTCATTTATTTAATTTCGAACTCTAATACTAACCATTGAGAATTTGTTATCATACATTCAAATTTATAATATTATGAAAACCACCATGAGTTAATAAAGAAGATAAGTTTTGGAACTATACGTGTACATAATAGGTTTAGAAAAAAATTAATTCCAACCAAATCCTCCAATAGAAGATAATATTGTGACCCTGTTAGCCTTAGTATTGAAAATAAGGCTATATTAAATATAATTATAGCTAGAACATAATAAGTTTAGGAAATTTCTTTTAAGATAAAATCAAGGCAATATATTATCACAAATCTTTAAAATCATAATTTTAATATTAATTTTACATTAATCAATATTTAATTTTGGAAATAGGCTACTCAATTTAAAAATATATATGATGACAGTTATTGGCCATTTACATGCTTAATCGAAAACAAGTTTAAAATTTAAAAACTTTAAACGTTAAGGCTGCAACTAGCAAATGACTCTTTTAAATTAATTTAAGAGTACATTAGGGATAATCAATTGCGATTGTAATAAGGTTAACATTTTTGGAGGGCCACATTAGGGATTCGGGAAGTTTTCGCTGGCCAACAAAATTAAAACTAGTGAACTTTATGTAATAAATAAATTAAATTACTGAAAAATGAAAATTTTAGTCATCCGTTGTCGCGCATCATTGTTTATCGCCTTTTTCCTCTTCTTTTTCTTGGCGGAAAAAAATAGCCTATGGGCCGACAATTGGTGACCACCCTTGCTATTTAATACAAACTTGATTTGCAGCTTTAATGTAACTTGGTTTAATACAATTTAAAATGTCAAATAGTTCCTTTATTGGAAAAAAAATGAATGGAACCTTTAAAATATATTCTACGGGCAATTTTTAAACAAATAAATGAATATTATTAATCAGATCCAATGGAGTAGTCTGCTAGCATATGCTGGCCAATATCATAGTCGTGTTTTAATACCAAATGTTTTTTAAAATTGGAAGGATAGTAAATGCCCTTTCCACAAAACTGGCAAATAAATTGTGGTTCTTTATTGCATTCGTACTTCATATGAGTCTGCATTGTGTACTTGTGGACGTAAGTTCGGCCACATTGTGGACAAACATTATCACCATTACGGTTTTTTCTTGGTTTCCCACGGTTGAAATTATAATGTACTGTAAACAACAAACACAAACATGTTAGTAATAATACTCAACCAGTTTCAAACTAAAAAAAAAAAAAAATAGTACTCGTTTTATAGCTGTGCACACAGGTTATACAGAGTTCAGTGCCATAAGATACTACAAATACCTTGCATTAACATAACTAAAACATTTAGAAATGATTTTTCATTTCAAACATATTTTTATCTTAATTCAATTTTAACTTAAACACATGTAGAATAGATCTGCCGCATCCATATTAAAGTTCAGGAAAATTGTTGAAGTAGAATAATTAAAATTATTGTTAAATAATAAATAATTATTGGAAGTCGCAAATTATAAATAATTATCTTTGACACTTTTACACCATAGTATTAAATATACCGATAAGTAATATTAATTGGGTAATTAGAACAAGGTACTACTATGCACCAATGTTTACAATTATTTAATAATTTATACATAAGTATACTTGGATCATTCAATTTTATTTTACTTATTAAGTTTTGGGTTCATAGAATTTCTTATAGCACTTTACTCTACTGTTGTTTGTGGTGGGCAGTGGTGGCAAACTAAAGCGTTTACAACGTGATGATACTTAATTGTCCTTTAAAGCTGGTGATATTAATATATGCAGTGAGCTGAAAAAACAAGAAAATTTACAGCCAAATATAATTAGTACCTACTAAACATCATTCTGAGCAAGATATTGGACTTAGAATAAATAAAAATAATAAGCCAAGACTAAAAAACCGATAGGTACCACTATGTGTTTAATAAGTATTATAATAAATTAACCAATAACTTATAATAATATTTCCTTCTAAAGATTTTTAAATTATTATACAGTTTAAGTATAATCTATTATTATAAGGTGTTATGGTAAAATTAACTTTTAGTTTAAAGCATATTCTTAATAAATTAAACCTGCCTAGGTACCAATAAAAAGACAATTATAAACTTTTTTGTATTGTTTTTAGGTGGATTTAAAAGTTTGATAAAATATTTACTTTTATAATTACCTCTGAAATAAGGTTATTTAAACTAGAAATGTACTTATAAAGACAAAAAAATGATCTTTATATTTAAATTTTGTAATACATGATGCATTAAACTAAATGCACAAGTCATATTATTGGAAAAGTATTAGTGGGTTTTTACCTCATTGTATGGCTTACAACATATTTAAATGTGCCACTTGTAATTAAAAACAGTAATATTACGAAGGTCGACACAATATTTACATTAGTAAAAAAAACATATTAGTAATAACTGTTAATAAGTTTAATAATTAACCGACAAACAATTAAATTTGAAACATTGATTTCCAGTTTGCAGCAACATTATTAACAAGCTCACACTTTTTTTGATACCCTATGATACATTGACATACTGTTGTTAATTTTGATGTTAGATGAACATAGTTGGTTTTTTAACATTTATGACTCCAATTTTCTTTTTCCAAACATTAGCCAGTCAATATTTGTAATTTTTGCAGTTTTTTGTATTAAAAATGTATGTACATAAATTTAGTTTTTAATTAAAATAGTTTATTTAATCATTTTGTTCAATCAGTAACAAATATTTCAAAGTAACTTAATATTACTAATTCATTACAATTGTACTACTATACATATATAACAGTAGGAAAAATAAATAAATGCTGAACATAAAATACAAATATTATAAATACAACTCGATTTCAAAATTTTAAATTGTTATCAAGTTTATAGGAAACTAATAATATCCAACTGAAATCAACGGGAACTCTTTTATCATATTGACATAGTTTGTGCTGTTGAGTGTTTTCCATAAATATGTGCTTTCAATGTGAACTTATACCGACATTTTTTTGGACACATTGGACATTGATAAGATGGTTCGATTCCGCATTCGTTTTTTAAATGCCTGTGTAAATTACGTAAGTGTACATATGATTTTTCACATTGTGGACATTGAAAGTGGCCCTCCCCTCTGAATAGTCCATCAATAATTGTTCCTACTAAATAAATATTAAGCAATATAAAATTAAATTTCAAACCAATATGAAAAACAAAATCTTGATAAAATCTACTATAGGCAGTAAATAATAGATAATAATGATAACTATCATGTAAAAAACCACTTAAAATAACAGCGTTAACTAATAAAAAGCATTACTAGAAAGCAATATGGGTAGCTTTTAAATCTACGATGACCATATATATGTGTATAATATTTTGTATTAATTACATTGTGTTTACAGTTTCAAACATTTTATTTAGAATTTCATCATACATCTTTCAAGTTCAAAAAATAATTATATACAGATACTATTTGGAAATGTAAAAAGTAAAAATTATAATAATATTCAACTCATAATATCTGGTTATAAAATATTATATGAGTAATACAATTAATTTAGGATTATTGGTTCTTTAGCAAAGTTTGTTGGCTCCTAGTGAAATAAACTGATCGGTTTGATGAGATACTACTTAACATTTATGTTATATCATATATTAATTTTTAATATATTATATAAGTTATTAATTATTATGTCTAATTGGAAATATCCATCTTTAACGATAATTATAAGATGTAAAATAATTAAAGATATCATTCTATTACTGTTGATGAATATAGTTTTTCAGTTTTTTTTTAAATATAAAATAATCACATTGTTATTAAATAATATAGAATTATGTCTCATATAATTTATTACACCCTATCAAATGATAAAAATGTTTTTAAAAAAAAAAGAAATATTACACAAGAGTTTGTGACTTGGTTAAAATGTGGTCCAGAAGCAAAACAATTTTAAAGTTTTACATAAGATACATTCATTATACAGTACACTATAATTATTAACAAATCATAATAAATTAATAATTAATAATCTATTTTTTTTTCAGTATGTCACTTAATAATGAAATTGGCTTATTTTAAAAATATTTGTTTCAAGCCAATTAATTTTTACCAAATGGTAGTCTGCACATGACTTGATTTTCTACAGAAGGCACGTTACACATGAATTCTGTTTTGTGAAACATGTTTCCACTGGTCCCTTCTTACGATAGATTGTAACGTTAAATGTATACCAGTGCAGCTAGGGTAGATAATTGGATGACGATATTGCTTAAAAAAAAATAAATTCTCAAGTCATAATGTACAGCATAAGAAGTACTAAATACCTTAACCCTTAAATGTATTCTAAGTGTCACTATATATCACATTTTCTCACTATTTTGCACAAAAAGGTTAAATTTGTTTAGATAACTTAAATTAATTTAAAAAAAAAAAAAGGATCACATACATCACCTTTCATGACCATTAGAATTGGTAAGTAATAAACATAGAAACTTTCAAAATAGACATACCTTTTTGGTTGCTCGATGTGGCATGGATCTATGAAACTATTTATCACGTTATCCGATAATGCCATTGAAGTTTTCAACTAAAATAAAATAAAAAATTAATAATCTTATTGTATTAAAAAATATAATTTTATATTTTTAATTAATGATACCATTTATATAATACACTAATTATAGATTTTAAAAGTAAAAATTAAATAAGGACAACTGGAAATTTAATGAAGGTAGAAATATGTTGTACAAAATAAGAAAATTGAATTTTAAATATTTTTAGGCCCAACTTCACCAATGGTTGAAATTTTGTTTAATTATTAACCGGCTAATTTTGGTCTGTTAACTGCTAATTGCGATTAAAATTGTTGCTGAAATCAAACACAAGATTAGCAATGAGTAATTAAACGTTTCAGGTACAGTAAATATGAACTAATTTGTTAGTAAAAAAAAATATAACTTGAACTTTTAGGCTCAAAGAAGTTATTGAAAAAAAAAGGTTTTTCATTGTTCAATTGGAGAAAAGTAATTTGTAATTAATCCTTTAACATAACACATAAACCAGCACTTTTTAAAATAATGTATATTTAATTAATAATTTACCCTTAAATAAATAAGTGCTATATTCATTTTTGTAAAATCTGATTTTTCTTGCAACATAATATATTAACACATATTTAATATACTAGTACTGGTACTACTTCAAGGTCTATGCTTGAATAATAAAATAATAAAATATAATACAATAAGACAATAATTATAAATTGAAAAACTATTTATATATTCGATAAAAACAACACAGGTCACGAAACATACATTACTCACAATCATCGAGATGTATTCTTAATCTCGATGCTCACAAGTAACAATTCTTCACAATTCGGCAACCGCTCATTGCATGCAGACTAACGAATGATAACACAAACGTTGATAAGCTATCATGGTAGTTTGCGCATGGAGATTGTATATATACAACGAAGCGGTATTTTGAAAATGACAAAGTAAAAAATTACAACTCGTCTTAATAAATCGGTTAAAATTAAACACTTTAAATGTTTGCGAAGAGATTTGTGTCATGTAAGTACATTTTTTAAAACGCATATTGAATATGTTATTACTTATTTGTCTTTCTTGCATTTTTCTTTTTTCAAGCTAAGCAAATATAATAACATTTATTATTATATAGTAATTATTTATGACATTGAATAGGTCATTTTAGAAACGACATAAGTTAACACTGTTGTTACATAAATTACTTTTGTCAAATTTTATACTATATATGTAGTTAGGATTTTTTATTTGATTTTTTTACCAATTGATTGCTAATACTATTACACTATTAAAACTACTAATAGTATTTATAGTCAATTTTTCAAGTCAAACTTAAATATGTTTCATACTGGTTTAATAACATAAGGTCAAAAGTAGACTATTTAAAACTCTGAATCATGAAACACAGATCCTAGAAATAAAGTTAATTTATAATATTAATTAAATCTATTCTTATTTCACAACCCCCCCCCCCTTTCCTCCCGAAATTATATTCTATATACGCCACTGCCTACAATAAGATATTAGATATAAAAATCTGTTACATTAGATAAGTTGGCAAAAACAACAATATAATAAAACGAATTATAACATTAATTTTTTATTATCATACAAAAGTATAGATATGTAACAAGTAACAAAGAACTCTTTTAATAACAAATAATTAGACTTATGGCGTGTATGAAATAATAACAAAAAGGTTATGTTAGAACTTATATAAATACAAAATAATATGTAATATATTTTGTATTGGGTACATTTAGTTAACTTAACTAAGTTAAGTACATAATAATCACGTTATTCACTGCCGTATACATAAATACATAAGTATTTATGAAAAAACAGTAATTCGTCAAGAAAACTGGCAAATCGAAACTCATTCGATAAGACTTCTTAAAAACTATTAACTGATTTGTTATAACTATTTATTAGTAGGTACATATATGTGTCTAATCTGAATATATTTTGGCTAGACACTGTAATAGTTAACACATGTTATAACTGCATAGACGATAATGGTGTTGGTGTTATAAGCTATACATATTTGATAAAAGTCGAAATTAATAAAAATAATGAAGTGATTTAATTTGTTTTAGTATGAACGCTGACGATATACATTTCTCGTAGTTAAGTTATGACTTTGTGCACACAGCCCAGGTGCGTTCTAAGGTGGACTTTTTGTCTGAACATTTTATTACAAAACGGGCAACTGTACTCAGGAGGGAAATTACCACAACTCATCATGTGACTTTTTAAGTGGTGTTTGAGCTTAAACGTTCGAGAACAGTTCTGACAGGAAAACTGAGGTTTTACACCGCATTCATATTTAAGATGACTGGCCAGCGAGTGTTTGTTTTTATAGCTTCGACCGCAAGTATGCGGACACGTCCACTTGTCGTTTAAGTTTTCCAAAGGCAACACTGTAAACCATAAAATACCATAGTTAATGGCCTGTCACAATCTGTGCTGACGTAATAAAACCACTATGATGATTATACAATAAAAACACCTATAGCGTATAAAAAGATTAAACAAACAAACACATCTTTATAATAATCGGAATCACTTAAAAAATAAATCAATTCAGATGGGTCATTCAATTTAATAAATTTTAAGTAAAACAAGCCATACTAAAACCTTTTTAGCTGTAGGAGATATGCTTTTTTTTTTTTTGGTTAGTGTTTAAAGCAATCTACATTTTAAGCCGAAGGTAGTAATTATAATTAATGCTTGATAATAAAACAAGTTCATTATTCATACGGCATAGCGACAAGTCTTACTCATATAAAGGGATCTTGGTACTTACCGATCAGATAAATACAATCAATAAGCTCCCATAATTTATTGGATCAGGCTTTTATACTATGAAAATAATTCCACACGCTATTTATTCAAGTTTAATTTCTAACATCATACAAAATCCTACATTTTTATGTACGTCAAAATTATATTTACGGTTCATAAATAAATATATACTAAATTGTATCTGTTTTTTAAAAGGCATTAGAATAATAAATTTCAGAAAGAATACAATAATTATAAAGGGATCGCTTGAAAATATAAGCCGAAATCCAACAATCCTAGTTACATAATATTTCGGTGCATTGAACTGCGATCAAAAGAGCAGGTAACTAAAATATTTACATTTACGTGTAAACCACGTTCAGATCTCAAATTTGTGTTCTTCAAAAAATGATCGGGGTCTCTCAAACTTTGGCCGCATCTCGTGTGCACCGTTAAAAATCCGTTTTTGTTTAGAGTCTAAACTTGATAGACACCATGTTGAAATTAAAATATTATGTAAAATTGAAAGCCTTGTAAACTTTAAAAATTATTATATTAAAACAAATACGAATAAAACATTATGTTTAACATTTCCTCATAAAATTTAAAATTAAATATGTATAACATCATATAACTGTAAAGAAAGTAAACTCTTAAAATGTGTTTCCCCTCTATATTCTTGACGCGTATCAAAGAATTCAGCCAGTAAATTGACACTGGCTTTGAAATGCTTTTTAAGACCATTTTCTTGTTTGAAATCTTCTAAACAGATGCTACATGAATACTTTGAAAGAACACAGCATTTATCGGGTATATGCGAACTAAGACTTCCTTTGTACTTACATTCTTGACCACATACATTTGAACAAGCAAACCAATTTGTAAGATCTAAAACATTTAATATAGCATTTTAGTGTTTAACTAATATACAATATAGCGTGAGCCGCGACGTAATTCATCAGTTACATAAATAAGGTTATGTTAGGATGTCGAAGAGCCGTCGTCACAGTCAGTTAAAAAGAGATTGAATTAGGATAAGTACAAGGTGCGAATGAAAAGCAAAAGTCAAGACACGAGTATCTAAGGAAATAGGAGCACACACTGTGCGAACGAATCGCAAGACAAGTGCAAGTGTTAAAGAAAAATACAAGGTGTTGATCAAAGGAACGAATGTTATTAACTGATGATACATGGTGTACTGAAGTCGACCGACTTTTGCAGTTAATCGTTATTTAATTATTTTTTAATCATTTATTTATTTAGCCATCACTCATCAGTCTTGAGTCGCCGGAAGTGCTGCTGGTATTTATTTTTCTATAAGTATAATATATTGATGACCTGGTAATCCTATAACAACACCACACGGCTATAAATTTAAACAATAATAATTCAAAAATAATAATTTATTAGTAAGAATTTATTGCAACGTTCTAATTCCTATACGAGCAACTTTACACACATTTTATATTCATTTATTTCATTAAGAAGTACCTACTTAGAGTTGTGCTGGAGGTTTACAATTTTTGGAATTTCTTATTTAAATAAGCTATTAGAAAGCCACTCCCTTCCCCCCGCAAGTAAACAAATTTATTATTTTTTTAGACAAAGTTTAATAAAAAAAAGCGCTAAAAAATAAAAATTCGTAGGGTGGTATCATGAAAGTTTATGAACAATGGGTGTATAGTAATTGTTTCATAAAGATTATAATTTTTATTTTAGGTATTAGGTTGTTCAAAATATAATGCGTATTTATATTTTTTTAAATAAAATGTATGCGATTTGAATAACATAAAAAATACAAGTAAAGTGACAATTTATGTTTTTAACGTCTGCCATTGTTGAGTATATATTACATTGTAAAAATTAAATATAACAGCCAAACGTTGTTATATTCATAATTAAATAGTTAATGATGTTGTTTGTATCGTCAAGAAATTCTACACGAAGTCGATTATTTTGTGCACTACTGCCAAATGACTCCGCAAATTACTTTTTTGGTAAAAACTTTTCTCGCACATATAACAACGAAAATCTGGTGGTAGGTTAGCGCAAGATTTGTAGTGTGTATTCATTTGTCCTTTGTGCTTAAACCTCCTCGAGCATATCTTACACGCGTACTTTGGCACAAGTACGCCGCATTCTTCCTTCAAATGTATGTGCAATCCTCCTTTATACTTATAACTTCGTCCACATTTATTCGGGCACACGAACCGTTCTTCAAAGTTTGACTCGCCTAAAACGAAAGCACAAAATTAGACTGTGAACAACGGTTACCTACTAATTTATAGTTTTTAAAGCATAAAAAAAAAAAATATTTTTCGCTTTACTTCACAACATATTTAATAACTACTAGCCATGGCATCTCGTTGCTCATTGTATTCAAATTTAAATATTTATGTAAACAATTATTTAAACACGGTATTTTTTTTTTAATACTACCTATCCAATAACCATTGTCTAATGCCATTACCTATTATAAGTTTTATAAAAACAAAAAAAAATATTGTATCTTTTTAATTAAGATTTTATTCCTTAAATAATATTATATGACAATTAAGATACATGCTTTAATATTAATTATGCCATATATATTATAGATGTATACATTTTTTATGATAAATACTTTTCACAAATAACTGTAACAACAAAAATATAAAAGACTAGTTTAAACTATTTTAACTCAAAACAGGTAATAATTAAAACAGTGATGTAATTATGATCAGACTATAAGTAATAAAATGTCACCAAATAAACGATACAACATAATATTATACTGGTTTATATTTTATAAATAATTGCAAAGAAACATACCTAGTAATTTTAACTATTATTATCTATTTTGATCGCAGTTATAACATTATTAAGAGTCATGTGGGTAATAAATAATAACCACTCATAAACGAAATTATTATGTTTTTATTATTAATAAATTTATGTTCGATATGTTTTTAAATATATCGAACATAAATCATTTATTTGTAGCTGTATTTTTACTATAAATAATGTTATTAAAAACACTTTTTTGTATACAAATAAAATGCCTCAGTAAAATAATATAGTACGTTCATTAACCTACTTGACTACTTTGTTTGGCACCCTTAGTAAAGTTTAAGTTTCGCGGCTAACGCCAAATTTTGAATTGTTTCAAATATGGTACATTGTGCAGTAAAAAAAAAATCATCGCAACTTATATAACAAAATATTATTTTATATGATAATTGATTAATAGAAAAAAGAAACAGTCTAGATGAAAGGAATGCATTTGTGGATTAAAGCTATATGTCTTTTGAGGTGAGTTTTCTGATTGAAATATTTGGTACAAATCACACAAACAAACTTTACACCACATTCGTTTTTATGATGATAATTCATATTTAGTCGATGTTTAAAACTCCGACCACAATTGTTAGGGCAAGTGAACCTTTCCACTATAACTGGTTGACCTGAAAGTTTTTACATAAAAAAATTAGTTAATTTCACAAAAAAAAAATTATAATAAAATAAAGTAATAATGTATGTATAATACATGTATATAAAAATGTAAATATGTATACAAAATGTGTATATGTATATAAGAAAAACATGTTTTATGCTGAAATTATAGTATATGAAAGTGCAGAAAATACTAATGCGGTTGAAAACGAAAAAGCTGATATTAGGTAATGTATTGAAACAACCAATTAGCAAACAAACCATTTACAAATTAAATACACTTCTTACTAAATTCTCGGTGATTCCCTTGATGTACGTACTAATTAAAATGAACTAAATTCACAACAATAGTTAATTAGAATGGTCTTATTCATAAATTTTCATTTTTTCTTTTAAGAAGTTGCTATCTATCTTATTATTCTGAAAAAGTTGAGTGTGTTACAAAATTATTGAAACGTAGTTTATAATACTTTATTAGCCTAATAATTCAAATAAATGAATTGTTTAGTTTCTTTGAACATATGATTGGATATCAATTTGTTATAATAAAATAATAAGGCCAACATATATTATTTTTTTAAATCTTCCTTTTATTTAAAAGTATTTATTATAAATTTGTTAGCGTTCGTTACATTTATAGTGGTTAGGTGAAGTTAGCTTTTTCTCATGCACTATAACTACATTGTCCTAGGTCAAGACTAAAACGACCAGGACGATTCGTTGATAAACTGTTTAAAAACTTTGTAAAATCGTTTTTTTAAGTATGCTAGCTAATTAAGAGACCCGTCTTGCACTAATTACACAGGTACTTAAATCGACAACATTCATGTATATAATAATATTAGAAACCGGAGGTTTAGCGTATCATACTAAACTTGTCACTAAAATGTCTCAGGTTAATCTAACCTAAAATATCTGATATCAGTGTTGTCGGTATAGCAAAAGTCACACTCCTTTTGTAGTTTTATAAATAAAACCAAACATGTTAAACAATAAATATTAAACAGACTTTATGTACTTTCTTTTAAAATATCTATGCATAAGACAAAAAAATTTATAATAGGGAGTAAAAGTGATATTAATGCAATTGACACTGCCTTCTATGAAATCCAAAAAGGATACAAATAAAAATAATGACATAACATCTATATTAACATTGATATATTGTTATCTAACATAGATCTATAATATATTAATATCGTTCATTTCACAAACTCAGAAGTAAAAAGTCGTTATGATTTTTAAATTAGTTTGTACAGCAATTACTAAAATTTAATAAATAATACAAAATAGGCTTCTCATAAATGTCGACATATTATATTTATATATTTACATCATCTGACAAAGTTACGTTACTTTCCATATCGGATTTGAGTTTGAAAAGTATAGTGCATAACTTGCAACTAGCTGTACCTCCACACTTATACTTTTGACAGCTTCTTTGGTCGCAATTGTTTCCACTATCGAGCGGTCTTATACTGGAACCAGATTTTATATCTAGTACAAACAAATAAAATAGTTAGTTTTTATTTCAATTTTCTAGCGTTAACTATTATACATATACATAGAAACTGTATAGTACCAATGAATGACCGAAGTGTAGTATATGTATAGTTATTATTAAAGTATTTCTTAAATTTATTCTGTGGTACTTATTAGAAAAATTCCTTTGATATATTTTAAAAGTAAAACAAAGAAAAGTTAGTATGATGACGTATTACAATTACAAACAAATTATTTTGCAGGAACTAGGTAAACTTTTAATTAACAAAAAAACAATTATGTTTTAAGTTAGCACAATATCATATAATGTAACTACAAAAATACGAACAAGTTTTGATTCCCACAAGCAATATTATGATATACAAATATAACCAATTTTTAAATATCACTAATAGTTATAAATTAAAATTTCGAAAATTACACTTTATATCAATTGATATCACTTTATACTCAATTTAAATCATGAATACTAATTTGTCACATTACTAAAGCACATATTTAAATAATAAGTATATTATTTAATAACAATTATCAATATATTAATATTACCTTTAACAATTGAATTTAATAATTTAAAGTTTAAACACAAAAATTCTATAGAGAGGGTATATACTATATAGTATAATCCCCATTCCTATCCTATACACCAAAAATACACTAATAAGTGCAACAGGCAAAAGAATACCAATAATAATGACATGATTGCAGATAACTATAGAAAACAGTTAATTTTTCTACCTACACTTAAAGAAGTTTTTTTCCAAATAAAAACAAAGGATATTTATTTTTAAGGACACCGACTACATAAACCTTTAGCTCCAGCATTCTGCCGAAAAAAGATTTGCAAATTGTACACTGGTATTCGATGAATACCGCATTCGGATCTTTTGTGCCTATTCAAATTAGTCTTGCTCTTTTAACTTCTGCTACACGGACAAAAATAGCACGTCCCCGTCTTCTTAGTAACTACAAAACAGGAATGAAAGACACCTAAAAATTTATCTGAGAAACTCGGCTAATCAAATAAGTTACATGTTTTTGGGGTTCAAAACGAAAATTATTTAAAAAGGTTAGGGAAAAAATAATAATTAATTAAGAATAAAAAAAAATACTAGTATGATACCAACTATTGAGAGGATTCTGCCCCGAAAGATTCCTGTTCCGTAGGTATTCCTGGACTGTATAATGTGCATAAAACACGATTGTTATTTTATATAAGTTTATTACATTGGTTAATCTGTGAAGTACTAAAAACAACATTTTTTATTACACGAATACTGAAAAACACTATCAACTAACATTGACTAACTAATAAATAGCTACATAAATATCATACCTTTACAAAGTCTGAGAATCACAAACAATAAAAACTGATTATGACGAGATTCTTATTACAATTAAAATGTTTAATATTTTAGGTTTAGATATCATTATTTTCGGTATCACATTATAATTATTGCGGTATAGAATATTAGCTCAAGTTCCATTTGTATTTAATTATCGTTAACAAATCTTTAAAACAATTTAAACTAAGTAAGTTGATTATCAGACCAGTTCAACTGTTGTCTAGGATTTCTGTGGACGGCGTCCGGTAAACGATTGTGCACAACCACTATGTGTAGTTTCAAAGACTGTTTGCGCGTAAATGACTTCATGCAGTATTGACACCGGAACTTAGCTTGACATCCACATTCGCTCCTTGCGTGTCTGGTCATATGCTGTTTATTCTTGTAGCTCTTACCACACCCGTTGATGCAATAGTATCTATTATGCGTATGTTCCAGGGCTTGCATTTCTGTTTCATCTCTGACGACACCATTCACTGTACCTGTCAAAATAAAGTACCAGTATAAGTATACAGATATGTACGCTTTCGGATATTCGTATCTACTGAATTTTATATTGGATAGCTCATGATTTAAACTAAAAACACGACTTTATTCTAGAATTCTGGAGTAATTCAGACGTCATATAGGCGTTGATATTTTACAGTTACTCACTGGCTAATGATCGGTATAATAACCGTTCAATACAAAGATTCAGTTTGTAATATTAAGCATACACGATCGACTACCATTAGCATGATTATATTGTTTTTATAAATCTACTAGAGTAGCGTTACAGATGAAAAAATAATTATTATTACCGATAAAAGTCAGCCATATTAAATCTGAAACAAAATTACACCTTTTTTAGTTTACAAAAAAAAGTCATCGTGTAATTTTTAAATTAACATAGAACTTTAATATTTCGACCAAAGACGTTGGACTACATATTATGTATATATTTACATGTTTATTGTAAGTAATCAACAAAAAAATTAAAGAAAACTATAAGAAAAAACAAAATACATAAATTGAGCAACTAGTTAGTGTTAAAATAGACATAATTATATATTTTAAGTACATTTGGATAAAATACCTTAACCGTAGACTATTTAAACAAATTACACACGGCAAAATTAAATATATCAGCAAATAAAATCTATAATTTAAAGAGTACTAACTTATTAAATAAATAATATAATACTAACTACAACACCGGTAACTGCAATATAATTGCGTTTTACATTACTACTAACACTTTCAAAACTATTTGTATAAACAACTTACAAATAAAAATTGGTTGATAAATAATTTGTGTAAATTTAATATTATTAATACATTGCACTTATAACATATACTTTAAGAGCTTACTTAAAAAACGAAAGATATAGGAAAAATTATCAAAATTGAGATCAATAACAATTAATGTTCAAAACCCGTTACACAGATAGTTTACCTATGATATATACAAACTATATTGTGATTAGAATTATCATTTAAGAAAAATAAAACACCATTTCATACAATAATATTATAAGAAAGACTAGTTTATTAATATTAACCAAAAAAAGGACGGCATTTAAATAAAGATATTTTTTCCCACCCGAGTAAAATTTAGTAGTTAAAACAAGGGAATTGAAATCAAATTATTAAGTATGATAATTAAAAAAAACAGATTTTTTTTAATCGCAAAACTTATTTTGTAGCCGCTAACATCCACTTGGAAGAAATTAGTTTAAGGAAAACTAGTGAATTTTGACTATTGATTAATTATAAAATTAAAATAAAACCTATGACAGTAACCAGATATTGTTTTTTAACAAACATGTTTAAATAAAATGTCATGTTCAAAAAGTTTTGTGGTAAACAAGTATTTAAATTTAATTTAACTAAACAACATTTTATTTACTGTCCAAATGTTTGGTTAAATGACAATATAAAGAGATCAAAAATTTTACCATCCGCTAATAAAAACAATAATATTTGGATTTTAATTTAGTTGTAAATTACCTTGAGTATCTGATAGAAAAGACCAAATAAATTTAATAAATAATATTAACAAAATATGTACTTTATATAAAACATATAACCTTTTTATATTATATACCTGATTAAGAAATAGAAAACAAACATATCATTTTATTTCAAAATAAAACTATGGAATAATAAATTAATATATTAAATATTATAATTAAACAAAAAATTCAAATAGTACGAAATAAAAACAAATTAACATTTAGTAAAGATACACTGAAAATAATACATAGGTGGTACAACTAAAATTGTGGTTAATACAGGTTATACAGTACATTTCTAGCTGGAATAACTAAATAAATAGTTCGACTAATTACTATACATTTAGTTGGTAAAACTATAGTATAGTTGCTTCAATTACAAATTTAGTTGGCCCAACTATTCATTTAGTTATTCCTACTAGAGATTTATTGTGTCCTTGTATTAACCTTAATTTTAGTTGGACCAACTATGTATTTTTCTCCGTGTAAAGTATAAAAAAGATCAAATTTGGTGATGTCGTGTATTAAAATTCAGTTTATCTTATAAAAAATTGTTTATTCTCAGATTTGTCACTAATGTGTTGATCAATAGCTATAGTTCTAGATGTGCATCTCTGAAGGTGTTTTTTCAAATGATTCTGAAGTTTAAACTGCTGCAAGCATGTGTTACATTGAAATTGACGTCTCACACCACATTCATATCTTAAATGCCTGATTAAACTTTTTTTGTTCAAATACTTGCGTCCACAATCATTCATACAAACCCAGCGTTTATCTAAATAACAAAAACTTATAAGTTTTACAAAATTATTAATTTTTTTTAAAACCAAAATAGGCATAGACTGTTATAATAATATAGCAATACAAAACCAAACAAAAATAAAAACACTTGAATTATATACAATACATTTCTTATCTCAGGCATATGTATAAGGTTAGTTAACACAATATCAACATTTTCCATTTTCTTTGCTGCTTCACCATTATCTATCTTCTGTTATAAGTTGGTTATAAGTTATACCATACAATAATTGTAATAATATATCTGATCAAAAAGTAAGTTATTATAAATACAAGATTTAGGTGGTTTAATAAATACAAAATTAAACTCGCTAATAAAATGTTTATTTGTATGAATTCGTTAAAATCATAAAATATCATCTTATTACAAGTATTATTAACAAAAATGTACATGCCCACAATTAATAAAAGAGTTAAGCAAAATTACAAAACATTAATACATTATTTATGGTTATATTATAAATCGTAAGCGATGGATATATGTGGACAGAAGTGGACACGAGTAGTGTAGACAATACTTTTGCACTACCTATAAGTCCAAGTTAGGCCCTGAGAACTCATAGGCTATTAATTACTTGTCAGTCATCCCAACTTTATTATTCAAGCTATATAATTTGGTATCATCAATAATCATTTAAAATTATTTTGTAGGTACCGACCGACTGTGTTAGATTATAAACCATTTTGAAGGAACATTATTACGTTTAATTAAAATACTGTTATTAGTATGGAGTTGATAGTTATAATTAAAAATATTTATTAGGATACCTAAAAAGATTAAGTATAAAATTGAGATATACAGGGTGATTAATTAAGGCTAAGATATTATTCTTTCTTTAATTTAATTTCAGTATTTTAGTTCTCTTTTATTTATATAAAACTATTTATTTATGTTGTTTTAGAATATTATAAAATTACCTTATTTTCGTGAGCTCTATCAACTTAAAAAACTTAAATGGTAAAGTACACATTCAAACAACTGTTTTAATTAAGAATAATTTGCTAAAATCGTTGACTCCTTGCGTGTTGGGTAATTACTTTTAATTATACTTAAGTTTAAAAGTTAAGACATATTGAAGGATAAAATGTAAGAAAACTAAAAAATTACAATTATTATAAGAGAAAACATCCTTAACGAATCATCCTGTAGTTATGCACTTCCATGACTCTCAAACCTCTGTCCATTATTTTTGTAATAACATAACAGGTACAAAAAGTATAAATGTTTTAAAAATGAAATTTAAAAAAAAATTGATATATTTATTTAGTATACAATATGTTACACATAATACTATTATAAATATATATTAAGTTAAGTATTTAGAAATCAATCTAATGTCTGTGTCTTAAGGTACCAAGCTTTTGTGTACTAGCGCTAAATGATTCTTCCATATATCTTTTCTCATAAATCGTTTAAAACAGAAGTAGCAAACGTGTTTTGGCTCTTTACCGCAATAATCTTTTATATGTCTGTTCAAATCTGGCTTATACTTGTAACTTTTGCCGCAGTTACTGTTCGGGCACATAAACTTGAAAGAACTTCTGTATTTGAGCTGGTTGATTTGCGATTCTAAAAGAAAAAAACATAAATTGTAAATTATATTAAAAAGATATTTTTGTATATTATGATGAGAAGAAGATGAAAGCTGTAAAAACAAACTAAAGTTCACATGATAATATAATCACCACATGCTATATAAATACTTAACAAATAAAAAAGAAATTAATATTTAAACCCTTAAGCATAAAAATAATACACTGAGCCGTATATACACTGTGTATATACATACGGCTCAGTCTGTTTTTAGCACTGAAAGTGACAACATTGTTGTCGAAATACGTATGTGCATAGAGTGTATTATTTTTATAGTTAAGGGTTTAAATATTAATTACTTAACTATATAATATGAATGGAGTTGTAATGTGTATAGTATACACTATACCACACTAGTTAAACTGAAATCTCTTTTTTGTGGGTTGGTTGCTTTCTGCATAACGCCATTCATATAAAACCAAAAAATTTTCCTAGACTAACTTAGCCAATGAAAACAACTTAAAACTACTAGTTTAATAAGTATTAGCTTTAAATAAAAATGATCCACATCGTAAAATGTATTAAAACTAAAATATAATTATTAACTTTGCAAATTAGAAATTGTAATATGTATGGGGAATATGTTGAAAAAATGCTTGACCAATGCTAGGTGAAATTAATTAATTTGAATCCTAAGCAAAAAAACTAACAACGATTAACGTGTAGATATTAAATACGTAGGTATGTATTTATATTTATTTATTTATTACTATAAATACATTTTGAGATTTACAGTTTTGAAGTAAAGATCATTTATAATAGCGTTTAATCATTAAAAAACAATTGTTATTATATAATAATTCATAAATAAAAATGTTACATGGTAGGAGTACTAGTTAATTTTTATTATTTAACCAGTGAAATACAATATTACGTGATTTAATAACTATAGTAAATAGTAACTGTATATAATAACGTAAGAAAAATTAAAAAATGTAATAGCTTATATTGTATATCGGCGTAACTAAGATAATCATTTAATAAAAAAATACATTTTTAATAAAATAAAAGGTTACTTTTTTGTATTATTTGAGTATAGTAAGTTAAACCAGAATATACATTTTATATACTTATTAATTCTTCATAAAATAAAGTACTAGACAAGTATTTTCCATCTATTAATGACACTCACAAGACTTACATACGTAAATAAGTATTATACACAGCTATCGAGGAATCAAAAAACAGACATACTAGTATACAGACTTGTATGTTTAAAAAAATATTGTAATCTGTCTTATAACATTATACTTTAGTTATACAAATTATTCTAATACAAATAAATTACCATATTATTATTATTATGATTAAGTAAAAGCTTTTTTAGCAAATCAAATGTTTAATTAATTAATGTTTGAACAGTAAATCATTTATCAAATTGGAGTGACTATTTAAATAAATTTCAATTTTGTCGGTACCTACATTCATGTCAAATTAGCCTGATTAAAAAAACAAACAATTAAAATGTTTAATAATAATTGAAATGAGTTGATTTCACGTGTCTGAGCAAAAAATCTTTGCGCACGAACTTTTTGCCACAGTATGTACATTTAAACTGGGGTGGAATACCACAATGCTCGGTGTGTTTAAGATAACTGGCTTTGTTGCTATATGCCTTTTTGCACTGGGGGTTGGGGCAAATCGATTCTTCTAAAACAACTAGCGATTTTACAACTACAACAAATAAAAATAACGTATTAACTTATATATAAATTTAATTGTAATTAGAAATATTTTAATGTATTTAGAAAAAACCCGCATTTAAAATAATAGATTAACAAAAAGATATTATGATGGAAGATTTAAGCTACAGTGTTGTGCCTATTATTTGATGAATAAAAAAAATATATATTTTACGATATAAAGCGTAAAACACAGTAAAACAAAATATTATAGTCTTAGAATTAATGTTCTTTGGAATAACTACTAGGTACTCTAGTATTTTATATTGTATGAAGCAATCTAGTATTTTGTTATTATCTGTTATTAGTAATCTGTTTTTATTACAAAATAATATTTAAAACATTAAAAATATTTTCTTTACATAATAACAAGGTATATTAATATAATATAATGTACTTAATAAATTTAAAATTATATATACATAACTTACGTAATCTCGAAAATATGTTAATAGTTTTTACTAGGTACTAGATAATACAACCAGTAGCGGTGTAAACTGTAATGAAGTAAATTGCTGGACAGTGAACCAAAATTAATACAAAATAATAACCATAACATCCCATCCAATAGCTGTCACACAATAAAGTTATACAAGTTAGGACTCGATTTTAAACGGATTGCGGTTTGTTTGATTTGTTGTCCCTATTCATAATTTCTTAGAATTAAAAACACAATACTTAAGCACCTAAAGTAATATAAATGATTACATTTTATTTTTAGCATTACAAGGAAACACAAAATATAATTAACTAATAAAACTAAATGTAACAATAATAAAGAAAAAAAATTCTGAGGACGAAGAAAATAATAAAATGTGCGCTATTTGTATAAGTATATATAGATACGAAAAACAATAAAACTATTTAAGTATAAAGATTATAGTAATAGTTAATAATATAATATAATGTTAGAAAAAGCATACAACTGAATTCTGAACCCATAAAATGTTTTATAGAATATAAGTGTAAGCTAAAAAAGGCATTTAAAAACTTTTTCCCAAACTCAATTGGGTTCATTTATACTTGGTAACTAGCTCGCCGAAATTGCAGACATAATTTGTTTTGTATCGTTCAGTGCAGTTTAACTGAAAAAAAAAATTATAATTAGTACTAAATATATAAACAATTTATTATAGTATGAACAAAATGTATTTCTATCAAAATGATACTGTCTAAACCGACTGTTTTTAATTGTAACTCAATTACATTATTGTGACATATTTTCATTTGCGATGAAAGATATTGTCAAACCTGACCAAAACTAGTCAGCATGAAGAAAATCTTAGTTTACTTAGTCGTACAGTTTTTTAACACAAATTGAAAGTGATAGCTGATAACGAATAGCATTCAATAAGAAAACTTAAATCATCGAAGATTGGAAAGAATGTAGAATTACGTCTAAAATAAAATAAAAAATAAGCTATTAGGAGGGCGTCACACACCCGTTATTTTCTTCAAAAAACCCGCCTTGCGTGGCATAATTTTACAAAGGCTGTAATCAAAACTAAGAAACCAAATTTTCACATAATATAGACAACAACATTCATGTCAGTGCTCTACCATGGCCATTTTTTTAATATATATTTCAACCAGTTAATGAATAATTAATTAAGAAAGGACTATTTTGACTTTTTTCAAAATGATATAGCGTCGGTTGTACTAAGTATATGGAAAAAATACGGATGCTGGAGCACAGATAATTTTGTATAATATAATGTGTATGAATTTCTTTCCTTAACTATGTATGAAGCCTGAGAAAAATTAATCCGCACATAGCAGTTTTGATGGGGAAAAAATTGTACTTTATCCAATAGAAATGACTGTGATAGTCTGACAAAAAAATTGCAATATTAATAAGTATACATTATAGTTCAAACTCCAAATTAAGATTTTTCGAAAAATTGCCTATACTTTACTCCTTAGAAATGGCCTGTGTGGCGTCCTCTTAAACAGAATATTGTATAATACAATACTATAACGGCCTATACAGTGTTGTAATGGATGTTAGCGGTGGTGCAACCAAGGGGGGTCCTCAGGCCCATACCCCCCCTTGAGTATTTCTAAAGTGGAAAATTGGTAAGGTAATTTTAGTTATTGTCTAATTATATTTTACAGTAAACAATATTTATTTATTTTGGCAGTATAATAATTTTGTTTTGGCCTGCTTTGCGACAAATAAAAAATCGTTATCACATATTGTCATTTTCTTATATTACACATGGACCTTATACCTAAAAACCGTACTTTGGACCCCCCCCCTCCCCAAGGGACATTTCTGGTTGCGCTACTGATGTTAAGTATAAGTTCGATAATTTATATTATATGATTTTATTTTACAAAGGACTTAAATGCGATTAGGATTAATCCAGAATCGTTTTTACAATTATAACTGTTTAATAATTTAAATAATTTCCATAAATGAAACTTGATGTAACATCTACACTGTATATTTTAAAATGCGTTTGGTTTAAAATAAAACAAGTGGAAATACATAGGATTACAATCTAATGACACTTACAATGTCGTACAAAAAAAAAAGGTCAACTTATTTTTTACATATAAAAACTTAATGAGGAATTCTAATAAAAACTATTACGAGAAAAAAAATGTACTTGCATACGCAAGCAATTATTCTATAACTTAAATTTAAGTATACTAAATGGAACACTTAAAAGCATTTATGAATCATCAACAAGTGTTTCTTCAGCTGCTCGTTCATGTGAAACGCTTCGTTGCAATAGAGACACGTGTAGTACTTGTTTTTAGTGCAAAATTTTTGTATGTGCTCTGTAAAGTTATTGACCACGGTGTACGTGTAACCACATCCGTTTGGGCATTCCATAAATTTTGGAAAATTGTCTTTGACTTTAAGCTGTAACTTGGGTTCTTCTGAAACGAATACAATAGCGTGTTTGTCAATTAAAGATAAGATTGAAATACATTTTTTAATACTATAATGTTGATCAAGCTGCCGAGGATTGTTGTATTTTCCTTGTTGGATTCTAACCATACAACTATAAGCAAGAGGTAATTATAATTATATTGGCAATTCAAAAAGTTAGCAGGCAACAAAAGTAAGCCGGAATTTCACTGAAAACTAAAATTAAAATAATTTAAATGGCAAGACAATGTAAACATATAACATATATAAAAATATAATAAACCACCAAATAAGTTCTTGCAATAAAATGTTCTGGTTTATTCTTCTACAGTACATAATTATATTATTATATTTCTGACTACATAATCGTTTAATAATTAGAGGCTGTACAAAGTAGTTTTATATTTGACTAAACAATGAGACAATTTTGTAGAAATTAAAAAAAATAAACATTATAACATTACAGGATTAAAAGAAAGATGAAATAATAACAATATAATAACTCATTGAAACTAAAAACTTTCTTTCAGTGAAATAAAAAACCTTTGTAAAGCACTCAGTTTGTTGTAAATGCTGTTGATGATAGCATATAATTACCGAAATACAAGACTGCTGAGGAAAGTATAATTTTTGTGGTGTACCTAGGGCGTTTAGGTATTTTATTATGTTATATTATGTAAAACCACAAGTTTTTTTCTCGATTTCTTTTTAGAAAATTTGTACAAATAATATCTTAATATAAAATAATAGTCTTAATATCTTATTTAAATTTGTACCTTCTTGGATCGATTACCTTCGAATGTGCTTATCCAGGTTCTCCTCCTTTTTACACACAAAAGCTTTATAAATTATAAAAACAATTTTTTATTTGTAAATTGATTATTAGCTTATTTACAAACTATCAAGTATAAACGTACATTATATGTATTAGGTATCTCACGCATTTTTAACAATTTTACACGGTAATTTACTACATCACGCAATACACTCTTTAGATTTATTATTTTTAGAAAAATATAACTTAAAATATAGTTATAAAGGTAGGTTAACAGTTAACCAGTTACTAATGCCAACTTACTTTAACAAAAACCAAATACAAATTATAAATAAAATATAGATATTTTTTAAAAAATAAAAATGCATACATGTTTTCTGTTTTTTTTTTTTCAAAAAAGAAATCGACCGGAAACTAGTGTATGCGAGGAGGTGAACAGTGAACCACCTCAAGTTTGGAAGCAAGAGTTGCGCTTAACGGCGTACAAAATAAGGTATTTAAAAAGGGCATATCCGTTGTTATGGCTAAATTTTCGAGTATGAAGGTAATGTTAGCTGGAGGAAGACTTATATATCATTATAACTATAGGAAGAATACAATTTTGTAGCTATAATAGTCACGCCAGTTTCATTTTGATCGTGCACCTCCAATCGCCGGGCTTGCGACGGCATTGTTCTGTTTCGTAGGCATGGGAAACCCATGTATGTAAATCATGTGTGACTTGAGCGATTGCTGTTGGGTAAACCTCTTGTGGCACACGATGCACGGGAACTGCGGTTCTTTGCCACACTCGTACTTAACGTGTCTAAACAGACCACTTTTGTATTTGTATCCCCTACCGCATCCCGGATTGTCGCAAACGTACGGACGCCAATGGTTGGGCGAATCCAGCGATAAATTCAATTCTAAACAGCACACGTGGAAAAAAACCATATTAGAAATAATATACTGGAAAATGGATAAAAAAAAACAATTTAAAAACAATTCTCAAAATTCGACAAACTAATTATGCAAAAAACCTAACTACCGGGCACAAATCAATATAAAAACTATCTATATATATTAATCTACTCGAAATCATACCAATATTTGATATGGTAAATAATAAGTTAAGTACATGATACGCCGTCTATCAGTCGGTCTTTCCATTCGAGTAGGCATCGTAATATACTACTACTACTATTATTATTATCATTATTGATCAACTATAGGCTAGTTTATGAAACTCAGTAAATAACGAGAAACTAATTTGTATTTGAATTTAGACGTTAAAAATGTTTTAAAAATAATAGATAATATAAAACATAAATTATTAGGTATATTATTATTATTATTATTCGTGTATACAATTTAAAAGAACATATTAAGTTTATGAATGTTCATCATGTGCTTTCTCAGGTGTTCCTTGCGTTTGAACGGTCTGTTGCACATCTCGCACGGAAACTTCCATTCGACACCACACTCGTACTTCATATGCCTGGCCAGTCCTCGACTGTATGTGTACAACCGACTACAGTTCGGACATTCGAAGTTTCGCTCTGTGAACGTTACAGCAAAACATTTTATATAAATCACAAAAAAAGAAAAATTAATAAAAAACAAAAAATGCTCGTGCAGCAATGACGAAACATCTAATATTATAAGCGATACTGCGGCTAGTAGGTCCTATGTTCCTTGAGCCATGTAAACTAAACAAAATTGAACTAAGAGAACACCACACCACCTAGATACATTGAAGAATAATATAAAAGCAACTGTTTAATAAAACGCAATACGAAGCCTGTCAAATTAAACAAACATTAATAGCCCCATATAGCTCATACATTAATACATCAAAGCTAAATTACTAAGTAATAGTCTTAATTTCCGACTGTTTAAATTAGCGTAAAATGTTTAGAACCAGAAATAATCTTAAAATAAAAACACGGTCAATGTTAATTAATCCTAATAGAAACCAAGGTATTTAGATGGACTTAAAAACAAATTAAAAGTTCATAATTTTGTTGGAATATATTTCATTATTCATAGCATTGATTTCCTTATAGTATTTTACCAACCCTTATTACAGAAGACAACTATATTTTACTTTTAATTGGCTGCCATAGAAATTTGATCTATTGTAAAACATATTTGGTACACTGTTTTTTAAAATAATATCAGTTTGTTTAGACTGACTCTAAAATTTAGAGATGCTCCTATTATTGTATATTCCATTACACGGTATTTATTTATGTCATCCATCAAAATTCAGATTTCCTCAATTGTATAATGATTTATTTTATTGTTTAAATGCTTAACTCGCTAAGGTCATGAAATCAGATCCCCATGTCAGTAAATAATAAAGTTAATTTTTAAGACAACATAATGTGTTTACCTGTGTTATTTAATGAAGCAACCGCAGTTCACGTTTAGGTTCGGCGCCACTGTTGGCATATATTTAAAAACGCGTATAATAAGCAAAAACATAAGTGGGGTGACGTTCCCTTCGTTAAAAATAATATGAAGCGTAGAATTTCTTACTTAGTGAAACACTTTTTTATAAAATACTTTTATTTTATTTTTCTACCCTTCTACCCCACTCACAGCTTTTCATCAATTGCATTAAGAAAACTGGCACTGCAGCCTCGGTACATTGTTTTACTTAGAACCGTATAAAATATGTTAACATAAGTACAGTTAATAGTAAGTTATTAAGAACATCGGTTAATAATTCTACAACAACGATACGACAAATTCTCCTCTTAAAAAAATATGTTTGGGCCACTAAAAGCAGTACTACAACTATTCCAAAATCAGCAAGATTTTCCTAATATTGCCAAAGAAAATTTAGAACAATAAATTAGAATAACTAACTAACAAGGAAAAGAGTGATTAGAAAAAGAACAGTATAATTAATAATTATAACCACACACAATCAAGTTTCAAGTACAAAAAAGGCATGATTAAAACAAATATTTAAACTCCATCCACTCTAATGTTTTATTAATAGTTTATGAACGATGCACATGTGAAGTTTAATTTGCCATCTATATGGAAATGTTTTGTGGCACACATGTGCTTATTGCTCTACGCCGCACACTTGTGAAAATGTCAAATCATATCTTTTCTGTTTATAATGTCTCTCGCACTGGTTGATACAAAATTATCTCACGTTCTCCACTGAAACGAAAAACCACAAAGTCAGTGTTAATTTTATAAGTCTAAAAACCTACAATGGATGAAAAGCTATTGATAGGTATTTTAAGCTCAAAAACAAGGCCGTTTTATTTTGTTTATTATGGTACTAGTCGATCATATACCATTCACATATCCACGAATTTAAAAATACGGAAAAACCAAAACATTTCTTTAATATTTTAAAGTTTGAATTAATCCAACAGAGAAGCCGGTGTTCCCCAAGGAACAATATAACTTTTTTTAAAGTTAGTTTAAGTTTATACACGTTATATTTCTTAAAAACTTTTCAAATATTTTTGTACGTAGATGACTCATTATAGATGATGATCCACACAAATATAAAGCAACATCTAGAATTCAAAGACATCTTCAAAATATGTAACTATGGTCCGACTGTTTTGAATATAAAAATATATCAGTCAGCTTGTGTTAGGTACCTCCTTCTTCCGACCAGGCTAATGTCAACCGGTAAATCTAAAAATCTAACTTACTAAATGTCAATCTGAAACCAAAAATGATAACTTATTATTGACAACAAAAACTTCAAATCAAGCGTAATGAAATACTTCCGTCTTTATTGCTTACTCTTAAAATAAAAATTAATTATTATGTTACCAAATAACATAATAATATATTTTAATTATAATCCTTTCCACGTACACCCTGCACAATTATCATCTTAACAGTCTAAAAAAACAGTGGTAACGTCTTATCTAATATACATTTAAAAAAAAAACATATAAATATTTTTTAAAAAAAAGTTCAATAAAGAAAATACACTGGCACGGATAAAAGTATTTTTTTTAATAATTACATTAACTTATTGTACAAATTTGAATTGAGTATTTTGTAACTATTCTGATAAAGTAAAAATAGCAACTAATCGTTAATCAGTTCAATTTACTAATGTTCAAATCGTTAAATTGGTTTCATTTAAAAATAATATTTATATAAAAAAATTATCGCACTCTAACGGTTTATCAATAGTTTGTGAACGGTGCCCATATGAAGTTTAATTTGCCATCTGTATGGAAATTTTTTGTGGCAAACACTACACACGTGTGTATGCTCTACGCCGCATTCGTTGTGTAAATGTCGGATCATGTCGTTTTTACGTTTATAATTTCTGCCGCACTGGTTGACACAAAAATATCTGCCGTTCACGACTGAAACAAAAAAAACAAGTGGTCAGTGTTAAGTCTGCATCGCATTATATTGACAATGAACGGTGTTAACAATGACTTATAATATTCGAAGCACATTTAACAAAGTTTTAGATTTTTTTTTGATAATAATTGTTTATAAATTCTGATGACCACGGTAACTGAAACAGTTAATGCATACTACGGGACGGTAAAGGTACATACTGGTAAGTTTCCTTAAAATGTGCTTCAAATACAGTCACGCGCCTCATAGGCTCCTTCCAGTGTAAAAACGGTTGATAAATACGTGGCTATATTTCCGATAGCTAACACCCTGCTTTTATTCGTGAAACAATAATAACCAGCTACACGACACGCAGCAGTGTGACATCATGAAATATGAAATATGCTAGTGCAATTATAAACTAGCTTACGGTGCCACTTACAGCTATAAGACAATGAACGCACTGACAATAATTTATCAAAGCAAAATACGTTAGGTATTGAAAAAAGGAAGTAATATTGTAACGCACGAGATTTCATCCGGTCGTTAAATTATAGAATCTAATGATTAGATCATTAAAACAATACAAGTTAAACGAATTGCCAAAGTTTATTCGATTAACAAGAGTTGAAAAGAATAACATTTTAGCAAATTTAAATTATTTTCAATTTAGCAACTAAAAAGTAAAACTTGAATATTACTATAAATTATTTTACTTCGAATCGCAAAGCTAAAAAATATATGGCAGGTTTAAGTATATTAATTATTACCGGTAATATACATAGGTACAAAAAAAAATACTAGCCTTTGTCGTTAGTGTTTACATTATACCTCAAATAAGTTAATTGTGTTAACAAATAATACATTTATGTGTGTTGGCACTAATCATACTTAAAACATACATTTAGTTTAACAACACTGAAACTATGCGTACAGCTATACATGAATTTTACTATTAGTTGGTGCAAACGGCTATTACAAACAAACTACCATAATAATTAGATATATAAAACTTTATAAAATGACTAACAATTCTGGAATGATAACATAAATTATACCTATCTAATTAAAATATTATAAAATATAAAAACAAAATTATATCATTAACAATTTTAATATGGACAATTATTATGTCTATACAGTGTCTTAGTAAATATATACTTATCAAAGAAACGGAAAAGGTAGAATAATATATAATTTTAAGAAAACTAAAAAGTGAAATATCGATTGTTTAATTCGCTATGGTTAATAAAAGTGTGGCGCGTCACTCGTGCAACGTATCAATGACAAAAATTATTAAAAGGTATTTGTCATAATGCACTGTACATCCATTCTTCGGTCAAGTTGTGTTTGAATATCATATGATTTCTCCAGTTGGACTTGTAACCGAATTTCCTCAGACAAATGGCACATGTAAAAAACTCTGACCCTTCGGAACAACACTTAACGTGTTTTTTCTTGTGGTCTTTGCGCTTAAATGTTTTATCGCACCTGTCGCACTTAAACTGAGGTGGTACTCCGCACTCGAATAAGTGACGTTGAAGATGTTTCTTGTTCTTGTAACTACGTCCGCAGCTTTTTGGGCACACCCATCGGTTTTCTAAAAGCAACAAAATAATATTGCAAAACCATCACTATAAGCACTCATAATGTTGTCCAAGTCAAGCGTTCAATTTACAAATACTAATTTTCAACACATATAACTTTGTACACTCTACATAAAATATAATCAAACAAACATTTTTTCAAGTTTTGATTTTTTTATTATCGAGATCAGTACGCTGATATAAATTACCTATATATTATATTGCCCAAAAAAACAATTTTAGTCATACACATTATTTAACATTTATCGGAACTGTAAAAATAATACTGTGCTTGATTGTCTGTTCTACTTGTCATTTCTTATAAACAGCTTACGCCTGTTTTGTCTCTGTCTTTTCGTGTCTAGTACTAACCAACTGGTAAATTTTGCCACACCAATTTTGACGCTTTAGCCTCACAGCAGTACATTTTATAAAAAAAAAATGCAGGTTAGAGCTCAAAAAAACAATAATTATTATAACGAAAACAGCAAAATATAAACACTTTATTTCATTTTTATTATAATTGGAAAATCGTATTCAATTTGTGTGTACATGTATAACTCAAAAATGATTTGTGGATTAAACTATTTTTTAAACACCAACACGAAAATGAAATACGATTTTATTGTTTAGTTATTTATAATACTATTTGTTTTTAATTTTTAATGAAAATTAAGCTGATCGTAAATAATAAAAATAAATATTAAAAGTCAACTTAAAATATTTGTTGTTAAAGTATTCTAAATTTCTAAACAGATATCAAAACATGTTTTTTAAGAAATAAATTTAAATACTTACAAGAAATAATTCATAATATTTAAAAAAAGTTTTAATTTTGGCGAAATTGTTTTTATTTTTTTAATTCTATCGAACGACAGCGCATTTACCCACTCATTTATCCTACTTAACGAGGCTCTAAATTACATTACTGTCATATAGACTTTCGTTTTGCAGTATCTTAAGGGTACTACTCCAGTAGTGTATTCGTTCCTAAAATCACTCACATTTGCCACTAATCACATCAATCAATATATTGTGCTTCCGTTATTTTTATAAATTAATTAATTCAGTTATCTATTATATCAGTTAAGTTCTAACTGGACTAAGGTGCCTATGAAATATAAAATACAATCAGTTATATTTAGGTACAAATATCGAAAGTAATCATACATTTTATAAAGATTGAACTTCTTTGATTATCACATAATGTTTACTAGTTGTTTAAGTTAGATATTTTGAAATGTTGATCCATAAATAAATTATCAAAAAAAAATACAAATATATTTTTTATAATTAAAAAGACTAAAAGAAGTACTAATATAAACAATGAATTAGTCAATTAGATCAATTAACAATTTTAAAAAAAAACTTAGGTACGCTACTAAGACTAGCAAATTACACTATATAAATTAAGAATGAAAACTTTTGTTCACAATATAATTAAAATAGAAATAAAAACAATACAATTTTTTTTTAAAATATACTAATCAAACTTATTGTTTAAAACTTAAGCACACTCTTGAATAGAAAAGTATTGTTAAATATTTCTATAGGTTTTACTAAAATGACACGGGATTTTAACGAGTTGTATTTACATAATATACACTGCCTTAATTGAAATTATTAAATCTTGTGTTTCACACTACTGTTATTCAGAACTGTTTTAAAACAATGATATTAAGACAAATATTTAATCATAAATATTAATTTTTAACATTATACAGAGTGATTCTTTTATCATGAACCAGTCAATATCTCACTGGGTTTAATTAATAATTGATTTTTTTTTCATAATGTTTTTATAAAACGTGATTTCAATTGTTCAAATTTTTTTGTTTTACCCCCCTACCAAATAAGTTTTTTTTGATAGCAACTTTTGAAACTTATATGGTAACGTGTATATTTTATAAACTTTTTAAATTGAAGTTTAAAAATTGGGATGGGAAGGGAAGTGGGGTTGGAAAATGCGCGCAGATAAAAATAATACTAAATAATAATTCCTCCAGCCCTGAACTAGAAAATTTAATAACTTCAAAAATAGTTATCCAAAACTGGTTATCGACCAGTCAAAATTTTTCGTACATTATTCTCAATTTAAAAAGTTAATAAAATATATGCGTTACCGTTTAAGTTTCAAAAGTTGCTATCAAAAAAACTAAGTTGGGAAGGAGGTAAAACAAAAACAATTGTGAAAAATTGAGATCACGTTTTATAAAAAAAAAATCAATTATTACTTAAACACAGTGAGATATTGGCTGGTTCATGATAAAAGAATCACCCTGTTTGTAAGGTGGAGTGCCAATTTAAGATGAAAAAATTGCCTTATTATCAATATCATGAGATGTTTTCGTGCAAGGACGTTTTCATATGACCGAACAAACTTTCCTTTCGGGTAAAACGTTTGAAACACACATGACACTCGAATTTAGGTATAACTCCACACTCCAGTGTAAAATGCCTTTTGAGATGGATTTTTCTTTTATAACTGCGTCCACAGTGATTCGGGCAAACAAACCTCCCGTGAAGGTCACCTGAAATAAAAACATAATATTACCATCAATAATAACGGTGAACAAAATCGATACTACTGGGCGATCAATTTAACAATCATGTATACAATTAGGTAATATGCAAGCACTATCGAAGCCACAGAGATTGATCTAAAATGTACCCGGAGAGCTCCTCGTACCAAATAACTATTTGTTTAGCTACGTAATTTTGTTAAATTAATGAACGTACACCATTAACAGTTAATTACTTTCATTTGCGGATATTAATTGTTATTAAATAAACATTCCAGGTGTATCCGGGACATCGTAAATGTTCTCATAACGAAAGCTTTGTAGGCTATCTGTTCAAAAATCAATTTATCGATGGATTCTACAGAGATGACCTTTATGCGTTCTGATGTATCGATAATTATCAGTTATGCAGTCTAAGCAGTTATGCCGGAAGGATGCTTTAAATATTTTCCTACTAATCAGTATTTATCTTGACGTGTTAATGCAGACAAAACAAAAAGTATTTCAAAACACGGTCAAATAAAAGCAAGATAAAATATTGGTGTGAACGTTCATCATTTGGGTTTTGGAGTAATAGTACTTTTTATTTTATGTCCACAGGCAAAACTGTAGGGTTTGACGGCTTGACCTCCTCGGTATTGATATTACCTCGCTCCTATTTCAATTTATTAGAAATTTAACTACAATTTAAAGTATTTTCCATAAACATTAAATAATAAACTACTTTAAAAAAAAAACCAAATTTACAACTATAGTCCCTAAATTTTGTTGTCCGGCATTAAACCTTCTGTCCCTTTTTGAATACATCCCTAATAGTCGAATTTCTATAAACAAGAATTTTCTACGTCCAAACAATTATAACTGATCATTTTTAGCGACATTATAATTATTACTATATTATTATATTATTATTAATATATTCATCATTATCAATATGATAAATATCATATAAACCATTATGAATGAATACCAAATAATCTTAATGATCATTATGTATACCAACATACAGGCTGACTTTTATACTTTTATCAGCTACCACACAATTATATTTTATCCATGTTCGTCGTCGCAATCGAGTAGCCTCTTAATTTTCAACATTGTAAGCAAAACCGTTAATAGGTATTTAAAGTTTTTCTTTTAATAAATACACATATATATATTTTAGTTGGACAACATCATTTCTTACAATAATATTCGGTAAAAACAATATTATTTTGAAAATATTTTTCGAATAACACAATATTATTCGTACAATTATAATATTTTATTCGCGAAACGCACAGTGAATATAAGTCATAACATTAATTCATTACGTACAATATTATAAAGCATTCGATTAAAAACATGTTTAAACAATATGTTAAAAATCTAAAATATGTAATTTATGAAATATGTTAAAAATAAGAAGTATTTTTCATCCAACATCATAAACACTTGAGTTTTTTACTAAATTTGATTATTACCAACAATTTGTTAAATAGAAATCATATTTTTTTATAGTCATATAATTTTTGTAAAAGTCAATTCTATTGTTTATAATAACTTTATGATTATTGGTTAAATTAGTGAGGCGAACAGAAAAAGGCAAATTTGTAAGTGAAGACCGTTGAATTTTTTTATACAATTCGAATGAAAAAGTATTCAAAAATATATGTTTTACAATGATTTAAACTAATATTTGTTCGAATAAATCCCTTATATTTGTACAAAAATGAGTTTTAGCATATTTTATTGAATTATATTATATTATTCTTGTACGATTCAAACGTAAACGAACACACGTGTTAATACGTGATAACAAATTACTATATAACTAAGGTAACATATGTATCATTACATGACGTACAAACTACAATACTCTTGGCTTTGCTTATTTGATTTATTCGAGTATATTTTTTTTTTTTGTATACTTCAAATCAGTATTTAATTTTGTTTTAATGCAAATGTATGCGTACAACATTTTTTTCTATCGAGAATTTCAATCAAATGTATTTTTTACAACACTAACTACGTGCAACAGTGTGCAGTGTCGGTTCAGGTTGGCTTTCTGGTGAAATTTTCGACCGCAAAAATTACAAACGAACATTTTTTCAACGCCGCATTCGTACATTTCGTGTCTCCGCAAGTTCGCCTTGTACTTGTACGAATTGCCACATCTCTTGCACGGATGACGGGGCAAAATAAATGTGAAACCTGCGATTCCAAAAAAAAGAAAAAACACAAACGTCCAATCGTTAAAACAACACTATATTATGCATGCGTTTTCCGGATACAACAAACAAACGTCGCGGGAAAACGCACCATGTGTAGTCAAATCACAAAGTCATATTACAAAATATGCGTTTATACTACCGCAGATGCAATGGCGAAAACCATAGTATTACAATCTATCAAATCAAATTGTACTAATCGGATAAATGCAACTAAAATAAAAAAACAAAATACCAAAGAACCGAATCACTTATGTGGAGGGTTTCCATGCAAGTCCAAGGTGCGCATCCAGCACATTAATCCATCAGTCGACCTAATTAGAATAAACAATTTGTACACATTTTAGATAATTATATAATAAGTGTAATTTTTTAATAAACCATTATTATTAATATGACCAATTTAATCAAAAACGAGTGCTATAAACATTATTTTTTTGTAAATAATAAACATTTTGTTGGAAAAACGTAAACGGCAAACTGCTTTTGCACTTAGAACATAAATGTAGAATATAAATATAAATAAATAAAAATACACCGTTCAATATGCATAATATTTATACCAGCCATAAGACGTTCACAGTATTAGGATATAAGTGTTTCGCAACAAAAAAAAGTGAATATAAATAAAATCTTACTGCAGTAGGTACAACAATAGTTGTATGTGAAAATTAAACTACAAAGTATTAGACATATAATTTTAACGTATAACTTTGTGGATGTTGAAGACGTGTGCTTTGTAGGTAATGGGCTGCTTAAAAAATTTAAAGCAATATTCGCACTGGAACTTGGGCTGAACTCCACATTCAAATTTCAAATGAGTGTACAAAGCTGGTTTCGATTTGTATATCCTACCACAAGAGTTAACACAAGGGTACATTTTCTTTTCAGACATTTGTTTACTTGCAACTCGTTTAACCGCAGGCCTGTATCCTAAAATGCATCATTAATACAGAATTAACAAAACAAATAATAATACAGTTTTTAAAAAATAAAACATTCTACTAGCATTTAAAAAATGTTAAGCATATTTATTTCAAGTACAACAATTTTCGCGTAGTTAACAACTATATGGAGGAACTAAAGGCCAAATGTTACTCTTTTTCCCAGAAGTGCTGCAATACACTTACAAAATAATATGCATACAATTTTTGTAAAAAAGAACTATAACGATTATAATAAATTATGTTAAAAGACAATTATTATTGCCCGAGTTCGGATGAGTATAGGTTATGAATGCCGGATTTTTTTTACACATATTATTAAAAATTTTCCTTTTTATAAGCAAAAAAAAAAATATACAGACTTTTTTCTAACTAAAATCTTAACAGCCAACATAATTTTAAAATCCATTTTAATTATAATAAACGAGTGATTTCTTCTCCTCCTCGCATTACAATTTAATCAGGTTTTTCGTTCAACTTCATCATGATGCAATGCTTAATTGAATAGAGTACCGTCAACACACATATTTAATAAATAAACTATCAAGTTTCTTAGAGTCAATTTTTATTATTTTTTTAAATACAATTAGTGAACAATTAAAAATGGGCATACGTGATAGCCGCTTTAATTAACAAAACAATATTAACTGTTTTTTATAAATAATTATTTTGTATGGAACAAAATACAATTAATAATAACCATATAATTTTTTACTATTGTTTGTAATACGCATTAAGCAAATAATAAATTAGAAGAATACATTTATCTTGTATTAAAATTACACCATATAAGTAATAATAAAACAATCATTAATAAGTATCCGGGTGGTTACGAAATTAAGACATACTACTTACGAATACAGGAAAAACGTATAAATTAAGTTATTTCCCATTATGGATTAACTAAGATCTATTCTAAACTTTGAACTGTATGAGTGGATATAACTATGAATATAAAGTCATTCAGGAATAATGAAAAATATCACTAAAATGATAGGAAGGTACGAGATCATTTTTTTTTCTAATGAAACCGTATTCTATTATCCCTTAAAAAACGATTTACGTATTAGTTATAAAAGCTATTATAATATTTAATATTTTACTTATATCGAAATAACATTTTCACAATGATTTTAGCCTAAGATACTTGCATTTAAAATGTTAGAATAAATTATTTTTTCGGTAATAACGTTTTGAGCAAACTTGACATTCTTATGAAGACATGTCTTCGCACTGGACTATATGTAATACAAGACGATAATATGATGTTGAATATTTTCGTTCACAGAAATTTGAACATGTGTCAAGTGAAAATCCAGTGATCTAAAAATTAAAAACAATTATTTTATTAACAAAAAAAGTAAAAATGTTTTAAATTAAAATAAAAGTGTGTTTTTTAAACAACATTTAATATTATGATACGACTTTCCATTTTAATAGTGTACGTAGTCTATAATCATATACAATTGACTGCAAGTATAATAATGATTAGCAAATATAGGTCTTATTTGTTAAGATCAAAAATACATCTTTCAATCATTTGGTTCTGCCGATGGATATCTAATACACGTTGGTAAATTATGCAATAATAATTATGTAGTTTATTACCGTACATCATAAAGTAGGAATAAAATATCTTTTGAAATCTAAAATACTATTACGCAATATAGGAATACAATAGCATTTGTTCCACGGTAAAAGAATCGTTTGCCAAAACAAACGCTTAAGTTTATCGTAGAATTTGAAAGGTTTATAAACTATATAGGTAATAATTAGTTTATATTATTATTAGTTGTTATTTTTGTACAAAATATTAAAGTAACAAAAATACATAATACATAAGACATCGTTTGATTTCGTAGCTGCACAGTGTGTGTTGTTATTTATGACAATATGTACCAGTTAATAACAAAATCAAAAGTTGCCGATAGGATATGATGTTCTAATTTTTTATTGTACTCTTATTTTCCTTTAACGTGTTGGTCACTAGTTTGGATTATGACCTTCGACCAGGAACTTGTGGACGTTCATTATATGGGCCTTATAGCTGACGGGTTGCTTGAAATATTTATCGCATTCCCTGCAGTAGAATTTTGGCTTTACACCGCATTCGTATCGCATGTGCACACTGATGGCTTGCTTTGACTTATATTTCTTACCACATTTGTTTGTGCAATAGTAAAGGCCGTCTTCCGACGGTCCCGGATACTTGTTCATTCTACCGGATTTCGAGTTGTACAACAAACGAACGACTGCGAACACATAAGAGATGTTAGTCAGATTTAATGCAAGACACACAGTAGGCAAAAAATAATAATAAGGAAAGAAAATCAAAATATGAATCATGCGCTAGAATGTCTTAAACTGTGGCGTGGCGTACTAAAATATGTTATAATATCAAGTAGAAAAAAGTATCTGTATACAGGAAATAATCTGACTACCTGTAAACAGAACACATACCTAAAGACAAGACGTTTTAACTGGATTTATGTTGACTTACGGCCACTTGATTTTTACATGTTAACATTATTTTATGACCGTCTAGAAAACTGCATTAATTTTTTTTTCTGCTAATACTAGAATATCTTAATATCTACGTTTAACTTTGAAAACATGTCCAAGAGATCTCCACATGTAAATTAGCTTCCGTTGGAAGGATGTTAAAAGGAACTGTGTTTTATCTACACTTATTACACAGCAATATATTACTATTAAATTATAAATCATAATTAACAAAAAGAAATAAATACTCTTTCATTCAACTCTTTCAATCTTTCAAAAATTGCAACTCGTAAATAGATTATTACAGTAAAATAATTTATATTTTATTAATTTGTATTTATTATATCTTATTTTTATTAACAAATATGGTTCGGTAATTACAACGGTACAAATATAATGATTAATTAACAATACAATATTAATTAATTAACAGAGAAAAAAATATATCGATATTAAAGATGATGGCTGAGGTAAACAGTTGAATTATGAGAGAATTGAGAACAAAAGTGAGGAGATTAGAATTAGAATGTAACAATTGAGTTATTAATAAAACTAAACTTCGCGATTTGCATAGAAAGACCCTGGAAGCCGGTGAGTCTAAGTGGGTATAAGCTCATTTTTTGAAGAAATTTGGTTGTATAGTATAGATACCTAAAATAGACTCTTATTAATTTTACACATATGTTTTAAGCCAGAGACTTATAAGCTTTACTGTTAAGCTGTAGACGTTTATTAAATCGCACAATAAATTTTTAAACGTCTTTTCTGAATTTTTTTTTTTTAAATGTACTTATATTCCTTGGATTCTAAGGTCCTCATACATATTATGATTTGTTCAGAACGATTCAATGACTTATCTACACTGTGACACTGGCAATGACGAAATTAGAGAGAAAACGACTTTATAGTATTTATCTTCTCTAAGCTATTAAAAGCTTCCAAAACGATGTTAGACAAAATAATAAAATATTGACAATTATATTTTTTTATAAATAAAAGTATTTTGGTAATGACAACTTATAAACAAAAATAAAATTCAGCATAATTATTTCTTTTATCAGGATTTACATACAATATAAACGTCGGCCGATTACACACAATTTTAGCACTTAAGCACCTCTTTTTTTGTCCATTTTTATCATTTAAAATGGGCTTACAGGTCATGGAACCGTACTTACATACAGTAGCCTTTGCAGGTACTTTGTTAGTTATTAGTTACTATTAGGCAGGGCTCAATCCTACTTCTCCGCCGATTTCAAAGCTAACTGCGTCACATGACACTAGCAACCATTGCTTAGTTGGAACAGACATTTGTTTGTATGAAATTATATAGAAACAGTGTGATTATGGGTAATTTATAATAAAAAAAGAAATGTTAAAAAACAACAAATTTGAAAGACATAATTTAAAAGTTTTAACAAAAAAGTCATATTTAAAACAATAGGTAGTTAATGAAATAATTCTTTCTGAATCAATCTCACGACAAAACCTTTGTTGGCCCGTGTAAAATTTTTTTATACATAAATAAACTTAAGAAATTATAAGATGCCATATAACAAACATGGTAGTTGACTATCTTAGCGGGCTTAGACCATAGTCACGTGATGCAGGGATTTCATGTGGATTTTAAAGTTCCCGGGTTGTTTGAAGTTTTTATTACAAATAGTGCAGTGGAATTTCGGCGGTACATTGCATTCGTATTTCAAATGGTTGTACAACCCAGGTTTGGTCTTGTAATTTCTATTACAGTTCTCGTTTGGACATTTAAACGCCCTTTCTATATGTTCAATCCATAAACCTAAAAGAAAAATATACACCACAACAAAATGGCCGGTTAGTAATTTATTTCATTCAAAGTAACGCTATCATTATTTTTGTCTTACTTAAAAAAAAAAAAAACTAGTACCTAATTAGATTTGCAATAAAAAAAAATACATATAAATTTTAAAAACCTCAGCGTTATGTATGATAATGTCAATAAAACATACCTTTGAAAAACAAAATAAAAATCATTCAAAATTAATGAATAATAAGCAGTAAAAATGTATTGTAAATTATTAACACTAGCTAGATAAACCAATAAAGCGTCGTTTATTAGCAATAAACGCTACCGAAATACAATCAATAAAACAATAACATACAAAGTATATTAATAAACATTGGTACTTAGTTAATATACTTTAATAGCGTATTCATGCGTTTATGAAATTATTTACATAAAATATACACATGTAGACCGATTAAAAATTGAGTAATTATTATATATATATATATATTATGATATTTATTACTAAATTCAATATTACATAAATTATATGATAAGAAACACGTAGTTATAACTTTAAATTATGCGTGAATAATAAAGCGTCGTCTATTTTTGTACATTAATAGTTCATCGATAAATTTTATCAATACTCAAAACTGGACATTAAAAAAAGACAACTGTATTTTAGTTGTTCACAAACATAATGGTGTAATATTGTAAAACCGATTCCCGGACACTTGCCCGAATGCTAATTATTTAATTTAGGTAAGATAAGGGTAAGGCCATCGTTTATAGTTTAGTGAATTTACGTGGTGGAGTGAGTATTTTGTATTTTTTTGAATTAACAAAATTATAGAGCAGATTACCGCGAGGGTTGGTCACCCGGCAGCCCCATCCCTTCATCCTACATCTTAAATACTTCAATTTTCAGTATAGTGACTTCAATATAGTGTATAATTTATATACATATAATAGTACCTCATAAAAAAATCATGGTGGTTATACGGACCAAGTAGTTTATCAAAATAGTTAAAAGATAAATTATTTTACAGTGGAAATGAAGTATTTTGATGCACGACTAATAATATTACCAGTTCTGAGATGCGTTCATTAAATTTATTAGTCTAAGAAAGTATGTAATTTTTTTTTTTTTAATTAATTAGACATAAATAATTACTTTCTAATCGGTCAAAACTAATTTATTTGTAAATTAGAGAGAACGCATGAATTGGGATAACATTAAAACCGAATTTAAACGTAAACAGATGACAAACAAGGACAACACTGATCATTAATGAACTAACTTGACTCGATATCATTGACTTGATAAAATATAATTTGTTTTAAATAATAACGGCTTCGAGTAGTCTTTCATTTTTAAAAGGTTTTCAGCGAGTGGGACATATTATTTCAATCGTAGAGGGTGGATTTTTGCAACGCCCCTCGCCGTTTTTCTCAAGAATAACCCAAAGTTTTTCATTTAATTAAAAGCATAAAAATATATAAATGATCATCACGACAAGCGTATACAAGCGGAATGGTAATGCTTATATATCTTCATCGTTGGCTCTTTTTCTCAGTTTGACAATTGTTCCAATTATCGTGAAGACCTGATATAGAGATATCAATCAAATAAATCCACATATAAAATTATCTGAGAAATTAGAAATACCTGGGTGAAAATTGTAGGTGAAACCTTAAACGTGCCATCTAAGACCATGTGTTACCAAAACGATGATAAACAAAAACAACCAAAACGTTGTTAGATTTTGTTATATTATCAACACACTTAGTTTACGGGAAAAGACCACTCAGCTGGCATGTCTGTTCGGGAATAAGTTCGGGTAAATATCATTCGGGCGAATGTCCGGGAACGGTAAAACCTAAACCGGGTAGGTACATAGATTATATATAATAAAAAACCATTATCAATACATTAACAATAAATTTGATTTCTATAGACAAAATGTTTCAATTTTTAAGCCAATATTGGACACCTAACCGAAAAAGCAAAATCATTCATTAAGAATTTAAAGTTATTTATAAATATTTAACATAGTATCTAAAACATAACTTATCGATTATCATACATTAACGGGTTGCTTAAAACAATTATGATTTTAATAGACCAATCACAGGCTACTAATTTATGTCTAAGGAACTATTAAACGTCTATTAATGTCTATTGGTTCATTAAACTTTTAATGCAAATTTGTGCTACCTGATATATAAATATTTTATTTTAATGATCCGGTCAATATATGATGTAAGCATTTTATTTTGAAACCTAGCAATAAAGTTAATTAGTAATAATTTACTTACAAAAAAATATATAATTAAAAAATCTTTCAAAAGTTTGCACTATTAGTTTTATACTTATATGATGTTAAGTACAACAAAAATACTGTTGCGTAATCCTTCAGTACCCATTGTAGCAGATATGCTAAATGTTTATTATATAATTTAGTTTTTTTTGAAAAAAATTCATTTAATTTGGTGGTGCCCTATAGTTATTGAAGATATTTTATATACTGTCCAGATGTTATAAACGTAAGTGTTTTACTTATTTTATCAAAATTCCTGATAGTTCAATCCATATAAAAAAATTTTACATAACATTTTTAAAAAATTGGGCATTGAAGACAACATGCGGATGTCGTCTTGTGTATACAAATTGTCATTAAACAAATTTAGTGTAAGTTCATACGCTATAAAAAAAAAAATTTTTAAAAATAAAAAATATTGGACAATTTTTAATTGTTTTATATAAATTCATATTAATATAGTCATAAATAAATAAACTAAACAAGCGGACAATTATTGTTCAAAAACGGTACAAATTTGAATTACACATTATCTTTAATACTGACAATAATAGTGCGTTATAAGGATCAAGATCAAAATAATGTAACGATCGTGGCACACGATTAGGTTATAAGAATTTTGTGTCTGATGATCATGTGTTTTTTAAAATTAGACCGATAATAAATCGCCTTGCCGCAAAACTGGCAGACAAATTGGGGTTCTTTATTGCACTCGTACTTCAAATGTGTAAGCATGTTGCTCTTGTGACGGTATGTGCGGCCGCACTGGACACAACTGAATGCGTCTGCTCCTGTGTACTTTGGTTTGGCGGTGTTGTTATAGCGACCGACTGCAAATACAAAGAAAATCAAAGTTAATTTTTGTGATTTTAGAACAGTTGATCAGTTTGAATTGTTAGTCGTGGACAACAGCGGCTAAATGCGACCAAAAGAAGCGTTGATTGTCTTTTATAAGAAAAAAAACTTTATTTTGAGGAAAGTAGGTTGCGATCCGATAATAAAACACTGAACATATTTATAGACGTACACACACCTTTCACAAAAAAATAATAATAATAATAAAGTACACCATTTTATGAATTTGTAATTAATAAGACAGCGAAAATACACATTGATAAAAGACAAAGACATTAAGTATATTTTATAAACCAATTTGATAATGGATATTAGTTATTACACTAATAAAACAGAATAACTAGTATCTTATGATATTAGTCATAAATTATGTTTATCATATACTTAAATATGAAATAAGTAGATACACAAGATATTATTAAATTGTTATACTATAATGAACAATGTCTGAGTTAGACATCATAGAAAAAATAATAAAATTAATACAAATGTATTTCAAAGAACGTCAACAAATTTGGTAGTCAAATCAACCTCAATCACTTATGAGTGCCAACGTGAATATTTAAATAAAATTTAGTTAATTTAAAAAATATCTTTAATTTTTTGGTTTCACTATGAGTTCAAAGCGCGAGTTAAATATACATTTCATAATTTGTTTAATTAATTTAAATTCTAATCAGCCTATATTACATTAAATAATATCTACTAATGAAATTAAAATTGTGTTTTGTTATATAGGCGCAATGGTTCTTTTTTATTGTGGTGCAAATAATCTCGTGACATGTAAATTATTAGCCTGTACGAAAAAGTATATTGTACTTAAATTGCTTCCGGAATTTATCAAACATCAATAGATTTAGTGTTAAATAACTAGTGTTTGTTATTATAATGATTTGACGATATGACAATAGTTATCCAACAACTATAATGTAACGACGTAGGTACAGTTAACATTGCGAACTTTACAAAATGCATTCATTTTAGTCTTAAAATGTATTAATACAATTTTTTTAGTTGATTCTAACATTTTATAGACTATTATATTTTATAGGTTAAAAGACAAATTATAAAATTTGTAATTTAAAGCTATAACACTCACCTTTGTTAAGATTTTTCAAAGATCAAACTGCCTATATCGACTATAAACCATACCATCAAATGTACTTATTTTCTACTATTAAAACAGAAATAAAGAATTTAATCAAATTATTTAAATAGACACCAATATTTTGAATCGCTTGATGTGACGTATCTCATGATGTAATGTAAAAGAGTTCTGAGTTAGTTTATATTGATAACCTTTTATACTGTTGTGAGATCATACAAATTTGTTACTACAAAACCTAGTAAAAGAAGAGCTCATAATAATGTAATATGTTTTTATTTTTTACGGCCTGTGTGCAAAGGAGATACATATATATTATATACACACATACACACACACATTTATAGATGCAGATATATGTTGGAAGGGTTAACATGTACGGCCCTCATGTGAAACATATTGAAATTAACGTTTTATTCACTGAAAACAAAACAAAAATTAATAAGAGTCATAACTTTCGGGTAGTTTCGCCGTTAAATGATTAATTTAAATGATAGTTTTAAACGTTTACAACACTACGTTGTATACAACGCGACGTTTACACAGTAAACGTACAAAATATATAATCATTTATTGACCAAAACAAATAAAATAACAAGTTACTTTTAAGTAATTACATTTTTTTTTTTAAATACTAGATTTGATTAAGAACATAACAACTAAACAAAACTTGAACAATTTAGGGAATAAATTAACATTAAAAATACAATTTGTAAACTGAATTTAGATATATTTTAATTACATTATTATTTAAATGACACTCAGACACTGTGTTTAAATGCTACATGCAATCTTAACTCTTTATGACGGTAAAATTTTTTGCCGCAGACCTGACACACCTCGGTCGGGGGCTTTCCACATTCGTATTTCAAATGACTGTTCATACTCGACTTGTACTTATACCCACGTCCGCAGTTAGGACAAAAGTGTGCAAACGATTTTTCGTACATGTTACCGAAACCTGTAAATACAAAAACGAATACAAAATATTATAACTGATTAAAACAATCCAAAAACTAACCACTTCAAATAGTTTTTAAACCCGTTTAAACAATAATAATTACACTTAACAGGCATAAACAAAATAATGGCTACCCATGAATATTACTTTAATCAATCACCATAACACCTAATTTTCTATTTATTTAGTTTACACGAATCGTAAAAAATACATAAGAGGTAGGCATATAATTTTAAAAAATAAACTGTATAGTCACCGGGTAGTATGAAAAATAACATATCAACAGTATACAGTTATTAAATTGACACAATTGCGCTGACTTACAATTAGAATGATGTATTTAATACATTTAATATATATATATATATTAATACTTTTCATATGACTTGCATAGTAAGACAACAACAGTGCATCTCGTCAAGTAATTTATTTAATTCGCACAATTGTTCTATCTTAATTACTCAGTTAAATAAAAAAGTAAAAATACAATTTTTATTTTTAAAAAAAATGTTATACAATTAAACACAAAAAAATCATTGCAGCTTGTCGATAATGTAATTGGGAAATATCATTTTGTGTACGTTGACCAAGTGCATTTTCATAGTAGATTTTTGAGCACATTTTTTTTTACACACAACGCATTCAAACTTTGGTTCAACCCCACATTCATAGGTCAAATGTTGAGTTAGCCCGCTCTTTCTCTTATACTTTCGGCCACATTTATTTGGACAGAAAAATCGACACAACGGAAATTCTCCTATTTCATCTACAACAAACCGTAATGCGTATTATTATCATTATTATTTAATAACTGTTGAACATACATTAATTTTAAATGAACGAAGATTAAGCTAGAATACTACATATGTTAGGTATTTTATAATATGCAGGATCATATTATCACGGTTTACACAGCTATGTATTATTATAACAAATTCTGACTAATAGACAGCTTTGAAAATATATAAATTGAGTTATTATTGTAAAGTGTGTTAAATCGAAATGAATATTCGATCAATACAGTATAATAATTTACTACCCAAGCCATTTAGCTATAAGTATAAATTATAAAGCTTACAAAAAAAAAAAAAAAGATCGGAACACTTTGAAATAACATTAAAAACAAATAAATTTTGATTAGTTTTTAGACAATATTCATTAAAAAAAAAAAATTAGTACAATATTACTCAAATTACAATGATAACTCTATAGTCGATAAATAAATAATATTTTTATTCTACATATTAACTAAAAACTCAACCTTTATAAAAACAGATATAATATTTTTAATTTATCTAAGTCATAGTAAGAATAAACCTATCAATCAACGTTACAAGTAGGAGTATTATGTAAATATGTTATACAAAATAAACTGAAAATGAATAATTTAAAATTATTTCTTTGGCCTATTTCTACGACCGCAATTGTTAGAAATGTGCTGAGACATTCGACTTTTCTGTTTGTAAGTTTGACCACACTTAAATGGACACACCAATAAGCCGTTATCTTGAATAGGGAAGTTCGCCGTCGAGTTTCTGTCCAAGTTCGGCAAACAAACAACGTCTAAAAACGAAAAGTAAACATAAGTTAGAATAAATAGTAATAAAAAATAATAATTATAAACTAGAACAACACACACATGTTCCCATAGCATCTCATGCCTCCTTACCACAGGAGACCTAATTAAGATGAAACGTGTACATACAAACAGAAAGCCTATTATCAATACATTTTATCGTCTGTAAGTGTTTATTATTAATATATTTTTAATTACAACAAAATATATAGAAAATACAACTAGTTGAACTATTGAAACGAAAACAAAATTATCAATCACATAGAATTTACTAACGAACTTAATTCAACTCATAGATAATGGTAATTCGTATTGTTTAAGATAAATTCAAGGGGGTAAGGTGCCAAACATTTTAGTTAAATTCATCTTACGTTAAGCAATTATAATGAAAAAAAAACCTCAAGGGGTATCATCGGGGTCTCATTGAGGTATATACTGATGTATTTTGATTTGATGACATTTCAGCGACTCTTTGTATGTGAACTTTTTATTACAAAAACTACAGTCGAACTGGGGCCGCATACCGCACTCGTACTTCAAATGCCTCGTCACATATTGCTTCCTTTTGTAAGACCGACCGCACATCCTTGGACAATGCCACTTATGACTTGTTTCGGTTTTCATACGTGGGGTTGACGTCACATAAAACGCTAAAAAAATTTAGTCACTTTTTTACGTTTGAAATTACATTTATAATAATTAAATCATTTTTTTTTTTTAATCTCCTTATATTTTGTCATTTACATACCAAATTGTATTTTATTTTAAATAAATGTAATAAAAAAACAAAAATCCAAAACTATGTTTGGGTACTCATGAACCCGCGAGTAGTACGTGAGCTGTCGAACAATTTATCCTTTTTATTTTGTACAAAACATAAAGCGAGGCGTTCTCAACAAGCGATTAGCGGTTGTGGTGGCTATAAGAATATCATTTGTTTTAACTCGGGTCACCGTTAACTTTAAAATTATTAAACACGACATATATATATAATGTAAAATAAAAGTCAACGTTTTTTTATTATAGGTTATTGTAAAATTGTATTTATTATAATTTATATGTATCTACTAAATCACACAATACTAAAGGTTACAAAATTAATACAAATCCTGCGCGGTATACAACAAATTTACACGCTTGGCAATAGGTAATATCAAGCTACTTCCATCTAGTTACTAGTTCCCTATACGTATAGTGTAAAATATATAGCTATTAAGTACTGATTCGGAATGCTTAAACAAAAAATTAAAACGACCTATTATTAACATTATGAACTTAAATCAAGTTTTTAACGACGGTGGCTGGCTGCGCACTGTCGGGCGACACTCGGTGCACTGTCATCCGATGTAGCTTCATACTCGCCTTGTAAGTAAACTTTTTCAAACAGATATCACACGTGAAGCGAGGTTCCACTCCGCACTCATAGTTGAGATGCCTGTTGAGGTTGTGCTTTCTATTGTACCGTTTGCCACACATGTTCGGACAGCAATACTCTTTGCCCCCATAGTACACCTTGTCTGAAACATCACGGGCAAATAGTTAGAATAATTGCAGCACCCACATTTTTCGTATGATGGCAAAACCAAAATAAAAAATAAGGAAAAATAAAGATATTAGCAAATGTTTTTCGATTGCAGTTTACTCTAAAATTTACCTTATTTTTTAGAAAACGCCATATGCGTTCCAAGCGAGGTAAGCATAACAAGCGTAGGTAGGTATATCGTTTGATGATAAATATTACACTATATTGTCGTGGAACTACTTTAAAATAAAAGGTACATACAAGGAGCCAACAACCCGGCATTCTTACACTGACTCTACTGCACGACTAAAGCACAACCGTCGTCCGTTGACTATACTAGACTTTTAAATTAAATATATATGAAAAACTCAGATGTTTATTTTTACTTTCAAAATTACTCAACAGTGTAAGCAGTAAGTACGTATTTGGTTTTATACTTTATTTCATCGAAACAACATAATAATAAGTATATAAATATATAAAAAATGTTTTATAAAAATCATGTTTCAATCTATACTTTACCATAAAAAATTAAAAAAATATAAACAGCAACATTAAAAATAGAGCTGTGTAACATCTTATTGAGTGATAATATTGTGCATTTTTTCTAAATGAACTTTTAAGTAATATTTCTGCACAAACTTGCGACCGCACACGTAGCATCCGAACTGTGGCGGTAAACCGCACTCATACAAGAAATGACGCTTAAGAGTGGACCGCCGCCACTTACCCGTATAAACTTTACCACAGTTGTTTGGACACTGAGACGGATCCGTTTTCAAGCATTCCTTTAATCTGAACAGAACCGAGTAATCTGAAAGTATAAGCATCGTGTAAAAAATTAATGACTTAAAAAAATATAAGTACCTATTTATAGTTTTTTGTTACTGTGTGTTGGCATAAAAATTAATAGACGTTCTTTATTTTTTATTTATAATTCGAATCAAGACGATTTTTAAAACAGAATTTTGTAAATATTAAAACATATTCGTAAAATAACTTTTTTAAACCATAAAACGACTTAATAATCATCGTTTTCAAAAAACTATAGGCTATGCCAAAGCTAATTATTACACTAAACAGGCGAGAACAGCGATTAAGCATTTAAATGCCGTAGTATACCAAAGAAGTGTTTAACACCCAACAAATCAGTGGTATAAATTTTGGGTTTAATTATAGAATTTTTAAATGCAGAAATAAATTCTTATACTTTACTACCACTATCTCTCTTTGTTACATTACCATCTAGTATTATTTCAATTTTCATAATTATCAAACACACTTAACATAATTGGATAGTCAAAATTAATTTGTAATTTTTATGTTTATAAAAAAATGTTTTTTTAAAGCGCATTTTTTTAAGAAATAAAAAAAAATACTATGTGATTAAATTCTAATTAGCATGTTTAGCGATTCTTTGACGCACTTGTTGTTTTTTAAAAACAAAGAATATTAACGGACATTTTTTTTTAAATTCTACTTTCAAACTACTATATTGTATAAAAAACTACTTAAATACACTTTCTTAAGGAGATATATTCAGTGTTAATATAGTCAAGCGACGCCAAAACGCCCAAAAACTAATAATTATTCGGAAATCAATAAAACGCTTATACATAATTATTGGTACACAAAAGTGTTGTTTTTTTTATTGTCAAACATAATACAATCATTTTCAATATAATTTATCAATACCAAATGACTTTAAATTAAAACAAAAAACAAATCTATAGATTAAAATCACAATTTTAATAACCCCTTTCAATATCGTAAATTTCAACTGTTGTTTTATCTTGACTAATATCAACAACTAACATTTTTCAACTCGCCATACTCGTTTATTTTACTATTTCTGCTCAATGATATTTCAACCAGCTTACTTTGGATGTAAATTAAGAATACAATACCTACAATAAAAGCATTAACAATATGGAAGACGGCGTACCTAAAATAATATGATTCGAAAACTTTATTTATTTATTATAAAAAATATTATAATAATTTATATTTAAATGTATTATAATAAAAATTATTAGCAAATAAAACAGATGTATTTAAATAATCCAAATCGTTGGTACATAAATATATTATAATGACTCGTTAAAAACTTAATGTTGGTTCGACGTTCTAAATCTTAACTAATATTGGTTAATTAGCCGGTCGTTTAGAAATATATGATCTATATATTATATAATGGTTGATATGTTAAGTTTACTTTTTAATAATTAGCAAGATAAAACAAAGTTTAAAATCAATAATTAATTGATTTTATAGTACACAATTGATAATAATTATCGAAGGAGAAAATTGTACGAATAATACAATGAAGTAGGTAAAAAATAAAATCACTTTTCAAAAGTATATAGGAAAAATAACTACCAAACGTTAGCTTTGTGTGTTAATGACCAATTGTCTAACTATATGATTCTGTTTTTTATGTAATTACTTCATAATAAACAAGCATGAGAGAAAGTTTTTAAAAAAAATTAACATCGGGTTTCAGTAAACATCTTTGACTTCTAACTTCTTTAAAAATTTTAGCTATTGAGTGAGAGAAATTTTTTTTACTGACGTTAAACACGTTTAATAATTTGTATGATCACCGTTTAGGTGTAGTTTCATAAATTATAATTGTTTAGATAGTGATTGAAAACGCTACCAAGACAAAATGTACATTATTTGTTGTAACTACTACAGATAGCGATTAACATGATTAATAGTAAATATTCTGATAGTATGAAATTTCAAAAACAGCTAATTAAAAATATTTACGTTAACCTTTTGGACAATAGAGAATATTGTTTCTGGAAGGAAACGTCTATATTGCTCCATATGGCATAACTTAGCTTACAAATGTTTTTTATTGATTGTCATTAGACAGGCTATCAGAATAGTATACTATTGAACATATTAACAATGTACAACAAATAAAGTAAATGTTGCATTGTACGATTTTAATGCGATTACAAAGATATACTGTGTATTACATAAATATATAAACTGAACATCATACAATTTACGCCTATGAATGTGGTCTACCTCATACTAAGTTGCAAGTACAACATAGTACCACTTATGTATGTTCAGAATATGTTGTGCACTCTCATAAGATGTATTTTCAGGTCATGTTTTTGCACAAACTTGCGGTGGCAAACGTAACACCCGAATTGTGGCGGCATGCCGCATTCGTATAAGAAATGGCGCTTGAGCGTTGATCGCCGCCATTTTCCCGTGTACACCTTGCCGCACTCATTTGGGCACGGCGACGGATCCGTTTTCAGACATTCGCTTATCATTAACATGACCGCTCTATCTGAAAGGAACACCACTTGTCTTAAGTAAATTGTTCTCGTCACACACACATGTTTAGGAACTATAAGACGTTTGGCTATTTTACAGTCAATTCATTCAATTTATGATACCTACTACTAATTATCAAGATACTATATTGTTATTATAAGTGACCATTGTATGCAACATAAAAAAAAAAAAACATACTCCTTTACTTCTAGGTGGTATCTCTATCGTAAATTCCAATTGCGGTTTTTTTTTAAATTAATATCAAAACCCGTTGGACAAAATTTATGTTGACTTGTATAAACGCGTTAAATAAATTCAAGCATGGTAAGCATAACAAGCGTATTTAGAGGAGGTAACTGTACATTTTCGCTCAGCTCTTACAGACAAGCGTGTATTATGAAAAAACAATTATACATCTTTCTATATCGAAATAATATGATAATATACCTATATATATAACTAATATCTGTTGGATTTCAAAATTAGGTGCCGTAATAAATAACTTAGACAGACAAGTGGCACGTAATTATAAAATATAATAAATCAACTTTATTATTTGAATATAATAATATACGAGTACGGTTATTAAACTATTACAATATATTTTAAAAAACATTAATGATTTGGCAATTACTATAAATTATTATAAATATACATTTTTATATAATAAAAAAACATGTAGACGATCTGTTAGTCGATCAATTAACTAATAAATTAAATTTTTATAAAACTTAACAAATTTCTTAAGTATACTTTACAGATTTAATTGTTTCACAGTAATCGTTGTAAGTAACAAAAAAAAAAACCCTGATAGTAAAAAAGAAGTTCGGTATAAATTATCTTGAACAGTATTGTAACTCAATGGAAGAGTATTATCGCAAACCAATAATTTCGAATTGATTTAATCTCAGACCGTTTAAAGCTAAATTGATAAATAAAACAGTCGAAATTCAATAGTTTTATTTGCCTACACTTTATAATACTTACCAAATAGTGTAAGCTATAGGCTTTGGTACAGTCAGTAGGTTTTATTTTCGTATAAAGTGTTCTGTTTTCATTTGGTATAGTAATGTATTTGGGGCGACGGCCCAATCGAAGAAAAATGTAACGGAATTTTTTTAATTATTAAGTCTTTTCCGAAATCTTATTATATTTTTCCGACGATACAACAGTAACTGTATTATTCCGAAAAGTAACAAATTAAATAAATACACTAACATTTTGTTGCCGTCGAAAAACTTATAATTGCCACCCTTAAGCGTCTTATTTATCCAGTTACTTCTTTTTTAAATGGTGTCGCTGATTTATTCGATTTGAACAGCCATCATCAGCAGACCAGTCTGTGCAAAGACATGAGGTGGCACTTGAGATGGACTTTTTGCTTGAACTGCTTAAAGCACACCGGACATTTAAACTGTCTGGGCACGCCACACTCGTAGAACAGGTGTCGTTTCAGGTGTGACTTTCTGGCCACGCCCACGTAACGCCTACCACACATATTTGGACACACTGCCGGATCGGACTTGCAAGCATCATCCAGTTTAAGCAGCTTCCAAGTGGCGTCTAGACGGGGAGGAAAAAAAATAACTGTAATATCAATGTCGCGGCGGATTGGTAGTGAAGGAGAAGGATTATTAAGCCTTCAGCCACCAATGCAATCCTATACAATATATTGTGACAATAGTTTTTTTTTTTTTTTTTATATAAGCGGTGTTAGTGACAACAGTACACACATATTATTTTATTATATACATAGTTATTATAGTATACCAATCCGTGTATGTACCCAATTTACACGTTGTCCTGCCCTCTCGGTGCCGGTGACGGTGCTCAGTGGACACAATGTTATTGTAGAGTTGACCGTACCGAGAACAGGTAAGTCTCAGTCTATACTCCAAAAATTGAAACTGCAAGAAGAAACGCAGTTTACACTGGACTCGAGCCTGAGAAAACGCTATATAAACGTTTTACGTCAATGTTTTGTTGTGAAAAGGAAAACAAAATGAAAACAGTACCAACGTCATCAATGAATACGGTTTATTGTTTTCATAACTCAACATCAACATCTATAATATCTATTCTAATGTAAATCTAAAACAAAAGTAAATTATGTCAACCTGCGTGACGCAATAGATGCGGCCATTTGAAGTTCGGCCGTCTATACTCTGTTAACGAGAGAACGCACGGCACGTCGACCAAACCCTCTCATTGCTACAACTGCTGGTATCACATAATAGATGAAAGCAGAAGGGTCACTTTCAATATAGGGGGAAAAATGTCGGCCATTTTGTGATGGACCATTTAGTATTATATGTTATATCTATAACATACTGTGGTGTAGCCTTAAGAAGATGACCGCCACGTTTTTGTGTGATAAGGATCTTCCCCGTGTTAATTATTATCAGTGTCTGGGGTATGCTAGTAATACGCGGAGAAGGGATATAACATTATTGGTTGGCCTAAGAAAAGGAGACATTATGTTGTGTCGAGCGCGGTACACGTACACAGTAGCCGTACGCGTTCTCTCGTCCACCGGAATATAGAAATAGTCTTAAGTTCCTTAACTAAGTACCGATCCCGACCCCGTCAAATACAATATCATTACAAACATGTTTATTGAGGTAAAATATTTGTTAAAGATCAAGTTAAAATCAATACGTGTAAATATGAATTAAAAAAAAAAAATCGAATACTTTATTTTATCATAATTGTCGATTTTAAATGATACCGTGCGCCGACGCCAAATGAAACTTTAAGTGCGCCTTCTGGTTAAACGATTTGATGCAACTAGGGCATTTGATTTTAAGCTTCGAACATTCGTACAGGAGATGTCGTTTCAGAATGTACTTGCGATGTTTACCCTTATACACGCACCCACACATCATGGGACAGGGCATAGGCTCTGGAATCGCGTGGGGTTTCATCATGTTCAGTTGTACCACCAGAGCTGCAAACGAAAACCAAAGCAAAATGTCAGATATTTGAAACGTCATTCAAAAGTTTGCTACTAAAAAATATTTAAAAACAAAGCATTATAATGAAATGCAATAATGAGCGTTTCCAAAATTGTTTACTAGACAACAACAACGAAATATAATTATTTTTCAAGCAAATTCCTCAACACTGTTAAAATGCAAAAGGAGTCGGTTACCGAGCTTACTTGTAACAATAAACGACATTATAAGCTAAAACAACATTTTATGCAATATCACTGCTCATTTGCAGGTGTTATGTACACAACTTATATTATAAGTATAAATATTCAGATATTTGTCAATGAAAAATACATTTCGTAATAAATAGTATTTTTATTGTGGTAAATTCGTTTAGATAATATTAAGCGATAAAAAAATCACAAACGAAAATAAAATAACTCTTTTATAACCCAAGCCAAGACATAAACAATAGTTAAGTCCCTGTATTTTAAGAAACTCAATCAATTACGGTAATTTAAACAAATATTAATAACAATGACAGTTCAGGATAACTAGCATAACATATTACAACATAAAGTAAAAACATTACTTGACACGTATGGGTAAACTATAACTATAACATGTTTAATCAATGGTACAACTTAAACGTATAATGTAGTTTTATTTTTAAAAAAAATAATAACCATGAACAAATAACGTACCTACTAATGATTGTAGTTATTCGTTGAGCAATAAATCCCTAATGTACATTTAAGTTTGTACTGTTAAACAAATTAATGAAACTATCTACTTTGGCTTATTATTGAAATTCACGAATTCGCTAATACCGTAATTATACGTTGTATTCTAATGAGCTTAACCTTTAAGTTAAACAAACGCGTTATGTTTTTTCTGCTGGTGTATTAACATTTCATCCTTGCGCTTGAACGGTCTTGAACATATGGAACAAGGAAACTGCGGCGGCATCCTGCATTCGTACATAACGTGGCGTTTGAGCACATACTTGCGACTTTTTCCTTTGTAGCTGCGACCGCAAGCGTTTGGACAGGACACCGGATCGACCAGCGAGTCTTTGTTAATTTTCTCCAAGAATTGTAGGAAATCTGCGATAAAAATCGACGCAGAGCGTTACAAACAACACAATAATAATAATGATTAACCTAATTTGCCGGGTAACAAATACTTTTGTAGACAACATAAATAATGTCGATAATGTTTTTGTGTTTAATTAACTATTTGTATTTTTAAACAGCGTTTAAATAAGCTATCCCTTCCCGCACTACTTAACGTACCAAGAAAGCAAGCTTTAAATAATGATTACAACTATGAAATGCCGTTTGACAATGATTTGTTTAGCTTTTTTTTTATTACACAATTAGTACTTTTATATGATGGGGTTAAAACGGTTTAAAAACATCAAACCGCTTTCAAAATTAAAACGCCCGCGCTGTGTAGTTTAAGAAATTAAAACCATTTTAAACGCAGCTTTTTTTATTTTGCACTTTTAATAATCACGATCAGAGTCATTAGTTTTCGTTAGAAATATTCACTAAACCGATTTAATAGTTATTAAGCAAAACCGTTTAAAAAAAAAATAATTCAAACCGTTTTAACGCTATCATATCAACGTTCTTCGTGATTGAACGAATCAGTGAACCAAGGATTAGTAAATGTGCGTTCGGTGAACAATCATGGTGTGAGACTTCAAATGGGTCTTCCTGGCGAATCGCTTCAGGCATATGATGCACTGGAACTTCTTGGGTACTCCACACTCGTGTTTGAGGTGCCGTTGCAAACTAGACTTCCTCCATTCGCCGCTGTAGCTCCTTCCGCATTGGTTCGGGCAAAACACCATCTCCCTCGAGGACCACGATAATCCTGCACAAATACCATAAATATTAGTAAACATTATCATCGTCATGTCCATTATGCAAAACTGCATAGAAACAAAATAACAATAATATTATGATCACACCAAATATTTCGAAACTAAAAAAAGAACCAATATCAGACACGTAATACCATACCTAATAATACAGCAATAACTACAACATTAACAGTAGCCGCAAGGCA